AATTGGATATTAGATTTTGTATGCTAAAATGACAAATGTATACATATGTCATTTAATTAAAAAAATAATATAAACTTATTTTGCAATGTCTGTGAACCTAAATTTTTTTCGGAGCGGGCCCCGAACCCCGAAATTTTAGCTAGCCCCCCCCCCCTACGTTTTGATCCTGATTCCGGCCCTATATATATATTACAAATTCGTGATTTTACAAAAGAATATTTCTTGCATGTGCTTCAAATAGATGGATGATGAAAATGAAATTTTATTTAACACTTAGAAATTCTTATAAAAATCCTTAAAAAATCATATGAAGAAATCCATTTTATATATTTAGCACGGACACAGAAAAGGTAAAACGAGGAAAAGGAAAAACGGACACAGGAAAACGGCATGTCCCAAAAATGGGTATACGTGAACTTGGGAAAAATGGGTAAATATTAAAAGTATAGGAGTGTATTTATAAATATGCGATATAAACATATATAAGTTTTTATTTAAAGAGATAAATTCTTTTTATATATTTCCATACAAATATATAAAAAATAAAAATTATTATCAGCTATTAATTTGCAATTGATCATCAAATCATGTAAACAATTCGGGAAGCAACATAGATATTTGAAAATTTGCAATGCAAACATATTTCTAATCTTTAAAAAATTGCAAAATGGCTCATAAGGTGTCCGTCAGGTATCCTCGAGTGCCGGACACGAAACATGTCCGAAACACGGATACGTTACAAAATTAAAGTTTGCGTGCTACATAGCATTTTCTGAACGATATACTTCCAAGTAAACATGTACAAATAACGAAACATGCAAAATCTTGCAACCTTTATATCATGTGGCCCTTTCAATGTTTTTGAGGTAAATTGAACCTTCCATTTGGTTGAATATATGTGACCAATGAAACTCTAAAGCTTACGGTTCTTATTAAAAGGCTTGTCATTTTCTTTTTCTGGTGCACATGCAATTATATTATTTGTCACCAAAATATCTCATAGATTTCATAAAAGGGACTGTTTCGAATTTTTATTTGTCAAATATTGATTTTAATTTTATAAATATTTCGAATTTTTATTTATATTGAAAAATTAGGAAATATTTATGATTTCACCAAAAAAAAAAAAAAGTCTCTTTAATTTATGTTCGTTAAAAATCTGAGGCAACTGTTTGTGTTTGTCATCGTGCTTGATTCTGAACCAACTTCAAATTATTTGTACCTCAAAATTTTGTACCATACACTATTGCTCAATAATTTTCTAGTTGTCGCCAGCAATAATTTGATCTGATTTTTCCGACACGAATCACACTCTCATCTTATTGTCCATTATTTATTATTTATTTATTTAAAAGTGAGCATGAGAAAAAGGTGGCAAAATTACACCTACACCCTTATAATTTGGCAAATTTCACCCTAAAGTGTATTTAAAGATCATAACTATTTGGATAAATTATTACTCAAAAAAAAAAAAAAAAAAAAAAACTATTTGGATAAATTACACATACACCCTCGAGGTATGCTAAAATAACTTTAAGGTCCCTACAATGTCGGATAAAGTACACATACACATATTCTAACTGAATAATGCATTGGATAAGTTATTCCGTTAGGTATCTAACGGACTATTAGTTTCAAACATTGCTGGAAACAACATAGAGCTAGGGGTGACATGGCTCTCCTAACATTTCTTAAATCCTTATTATTTTATATAAGATTTATAAATTTTCGTTTATGGTAGCATAAACGACCCCGCGGGAAACAAATATAGTGCATATCGGTCCCCAGGACATGAAATCTTGGCTCCGGTAATCGTTTCAGGGATGTGAATGTAATTACCAATACCACAGGGACCTTAAAGTTATTTTAGCATACATCAGGAGTGTACGTGTACACCAAACCTCAATTCTCATTTCTAATCACCTGAAACAAAAAAAAAATGTATGGATAATTTGCATCTCTATCTTCTCTGGATTATGGTCGGTTACCAAATTATAATAGTCTAAACAGGACGATAAAATTGTAATATTTGGTGTGTGGTTGCTAAATAACCATAGTTAAGGGAAGATGAATGCAAATAAACGAATAAATCTAGATTTACTACCTGGTGTAGCATCTAAAAAACCATCCATCTAACCAAAAAACGAAAGTAATCAACTAAACGAAAATCTCCTTCAATCCCGGAATTTTGTTAACTAAAAGAAAAAACTGTTTGAGCAAATTCCTTACAAGATGATTTCTAGTCCATGCATATTTTAGTAACTGTAAGAAAATCAAGAAGCAAGAAACAATTCTTTCAAATTTGAAGTAACAACGCGCATTCGGACAAGATGAAATTTTCAAGCCTTCTTCTTCCTATGTGGAACGGACCTTTTTCCTGCACTTGCGTTCTTGCCCGAACAATCCAGCACACCACGCAATAGAGCAAGAACCGCAAACCCTAAAAACGGGTAGTACATCATTAACAGCTTTTCAGATGCTCTGTTCGACATTGACAGCTCCGATAGTATCGCCGCCTGAAATCAGACCAATTTTTTTTTTTTTTTAATATATGTGACAATTTTAAAAATTTCAGTCAACTTCGTAACACTGACATGGTTAGCATAATATATATGACAATTTCGAGCTTATTTTGGGACGGGAAAAATCGCCTGAATCTAGTGATTAAGGTGGATACTAACATTCAGCCTAATAAACAAAACTCGTTTAAGAAATAGATGAAAATTAAATATGTGTAATGTAATAGAGATGGGACTACGACAATTTACATCAGAAGTTGATGAATTTCACAGAAGCAACATTTGATTGTAATTATAGCTGTTAGAAATCCTTCTTATGAAATGACTCATCTACCCTTGACTACACACAAACGGCAAACCTCTCGATTTGATACTTCATAAATTCCTCAAAAATGTCATTTAGCAATTAGCAGTTAAAAACACAATATCCTGATAAAAGCCTTCTACACATTCTTAATCATATCCAAAGCTAAACGACTAAATTCAAATTTTCCCCTGGCCAACGGTCGTTAGGTGGAGCTTGTCACACATGGTTAGCCTAGTGGGGTTTACGTCTCTCGTATGGTTTGCAAGCTATTATACGAGAGTGTAGGTTTACCCAGTGCACCTATATCATATGATACATTACTTACTATACATGGATCTAGATATAGATTTTGACAGTCTTCTCTTCTCCTCCTTGCTCGTTAATATCATGTTCATTTGTCAAGACTAGACACGATTCCTAGTTAACTTTAACATGGGCTCATTGAAATAAGTAAATAGAGATTCATATGGTGGTGGGAATTGCTCCGCAATTCTCATACGAAAAATAATCGCAAAATAAGGTAATGTAAAGTAATTAAAAATTGGGCTCGTTCATATGCTATGACAAACTTCAAAATTTAATGAAAAGTTAGAAATCTTAAATTTCAGGAGCCTGTATTTGTATGGGATATTTGTATGGGAAATAAGATGTTACACCTGGTTATTTACACTGGGTGGATTTGAATCGTAGATCTACACATAGTCACACACACAACCATATGTATGTATGCTTAGTCAAATCTACGGTTCAAATTCACCCGGTGTGAATCACCAGGTGTAGCATCTAACTCCCCGTATTTGAACCTTCATAAAGATATAACTATCTTGTCGATTTGCTATTAAAAAATCACATAAGAACGATCACAACTTACTAAAAAAGTAACGAAATAGCAGAACACTTCCAAAAGCATACATGAGGAAAGTCGGATAAGGCAGGTCAATAACATGATCAAGAATGTAAATATCAGAGTTTTAGATATCTTTATTTACCCGTTAAAGAATTCTAAGAATAATCAATGACGAATCAAAAAAACAATTGAATTGCAAAGGATCCAAACTGAAACCAAAATTACGAGAATTAAAAATATTGTAATTTTAGCAAATGTGTCGGTCGACGAGAAGTTCCAGAGGGGCAAGGGAATCCCAGTTAATAATTAAAGGTGTTTGGCCATCTTATTTCATCGAAATTCTCGTCTTCCAAACTCTCATATCCCAAGCCCATTAGAATTTAGAACATCAAACAAAAACTCAACTTTCTCCTCTTAGAAACACGAAACCCGACCGATGATAAAATAAACTAATTTTATAGTAACCCGATCAACATAATTAAAAAAAATAATTCACAATTGCAATAACTGATTCACGCAATTCATCAAACACTTTGGCTACAAAACACCAAAAAGCAACACATTGCCAAAACCATGTACAACCAACAAACAATGCACACACACAAAAAAAAATAAAGAGATTTTACCATGGAAGTCAAAGTGGAGGCGCCGTACATCAAACAGGCGGTGCTGACCCAAGACTTCCCGGCGGCAATGCCGTAGACGCAGGCGACGGCGAGAGGCCACTGGAAGACGAGCTCCAGCCAAACAATCCCTACAAAGAAATGCGGCTTCTCGGAGACCAAGTAGTCGCCGTAGTCTTGTGCGTACCAGCTCTTGAGCTCAACCAGAAACGACGGGAAGAAGTGGTGGGGTAGGCACGTTTGACCGTCGATGAGCGGCGCTACAATGGCGATAACGAGGAAGAAGACGAAGAGGGTGGCGTCGACCAGTTTGCAGAGGGCGCCCATCTTTTTGTTTAGGTTGGTGAATTTGTTCAGCTTCTTCAGTTTCAAGATTCTGCTGAAAATGGTGATCTGATCTAACTGGGGATGTTGATTTGTTTAAATATCAACGGGTAGCACGGAATTTTGGGTATTTGCAGTATGGCCCTTTTTTTTATTTGATAAATGGATTTTGGTCTTTCCATTAAATAATTTTCTTATGTTTTTTTTATTATTATTTTAGTAAAAAAATTGAATATTGATTACTTACTTTAAATTCAATTCTCTATTAAAATTAAACTTCAAGTGAGGAATTTATGATATTTAAAAAAAATGAAGGGTATATGTGTAATTAAACTTAACTTCATTGGAGGACCACATAGTCTATTCCATATTTATTCAATGGTAAAAGTTGAATTTGAAAAGAAAAAAAACCAATGGTTTAATATCAAATTTGAAGGAGGTATATATAAATTTTCAAACTATAGGGGTATGGTTGTATTATATCTAACATTAGGAAAGAAGGTGCAATTTACCCTATTTTAAAATATGAAGGGTGTATATGTTATTAAACCGAAACTCAAGAGACGATAATACAATTTCTACTCCATATTTGGTCAACTTATAAAAAATAAAAAAAAATAAAAAAATCAATGATCCCAAGTGTTAGTATTATGTAGTGGTATAAATCTAACGGATCAGGTCATAAGTAGCACTCTCGGAAAAATTCCATTTTTTTTTCTTTTCGAAAGTGTAAAACCAATTCCAATTCTGTTCCAAAAAGAATCGTACAAAATCGGAAACCGGAATCTCAAAAATTGAAATGAAAAAATTTGCTCCAAAATCGAAAATTTTCAGATTGGAATCGGCGGAGTAAAAAAATTTCCAATTTCTAGTCACCTAAAACATAAAATCCATAGTAGTATTGATATTATGAGTGTAATTTTCGGAATGAATCTTTGGAAATTAGATTTTGAATCGTAGAATCTCATATGTATTCCAAATCCGATCTAAGAGATTTCGAGAAATCTAAAAATCGGAATTCAAAATGAAAATATTGTTAAAGAAAAAAGATATGGAATCGGAGTTTCACCCCTAGTATTATGTGATATATACTTGCGGGATGTTGTGTATAATTTTTCAAATTGGAGGGGTCTAGATGTTATTAAACCTAATACCAGGGGATGCAAATATAATATAAAATAATCAAATAAAAAGGATAAACCCCATAAAGAACAACTATCAGTTGTTTTGCAGAATCCAATTTGGGAAAAACCCTAGATTGGATCAGAGAAGAAGAAATGAGCGAAAGGCCCGTGCCGAGAAGGGAGAGCCCGTGGGGATTGTCCGACGGCCCGCATCGCGAACCAAAAGCCCACCGATGCAACGATCGTGCTGAAGATGTCATCTATGTATGCAATTTTTTTCGTTTATTTTTTATTTTTTTAATTGTTTTTACAGAAATTTGATTCTTAATTTCAATAATTTAGTTCACCTTGATTTTGCTGTAAGATCTGTGCTGAAATACAAGCTTTAGAAATGAACTTTACTACAGCTGATTGCTGAAATACTTAATGCCCATGGATGAATTTTCTGTGAAGGTGAATTGTACTTTTTGTAATGTAGAAATCTTTGTTGTGTTGTAGTGACGTTGCTTCGAAATCGATGGGTTTTTTTAATTAGATTTATTTAATTCTGCTACTGATTGAAAATTCGAAATCGGTGGGTTTTATTAGATTAATTAAATTCTGCTAGTGATTGAAAATTACTCATTGTTGGTCATTTTCTGCAGTTCAGATTGATTTGATGATTTAGTAACTCGTTTAATCGAAATGAAGGGTGGTTTAATTTGATATATATAAAAAAAATGAAGTCATAATTTTTGAACTCCGCTGGAAATTTGCATATATATATATATATATATATATATATATATATATATATATATATATATATATATATATATATATATATATATATATATATATATATATATATATATATATATATATATATATATATATATATATATATATATATATATATATATATATTCTGTAGTATTTTTTGAGAAGTACCATGTTATGTTAAAAGCAGAGATGAACCGTTTATTCTTTCTCGAGTAACCTACTCTCGAAAAGCATACAGAAGACTAGTTTTGTTTATTCAGTGTTCGTAATTAGAAAAATAGGGTTCATTTGAGTTTATAATGGAGATGCAAAAATCGATCTCTTGAATTGGAAATTTCGGTTATTTGTGTACTTTACAGGCATTTTTCGAAGGCAATCCATTTAAAACAGTGCCAGGGCCTTTCAAGCTATTTTATCGGTGCATGCGTTCAAAAGTTGGGTACGTTTTTTACCAAACTCGCTGCCCAGTCATCTTCTCTTGTCGGGTCGTATTATTCAACATTCTCTTTTTTTCAAGATATTGTTGTAAACTCTTCTTTAACTCTTGGCATTAAGCATTTTGTTCTGCGGTGATCGTCTATAAGAATATTGTGAAACAGTTTTCTCTTACTTTTTCATGTTCGTATGTGGATTTTTGTCCTTGATGTTTCTAATTATACGATTAGCTGAGAATTGAATTATATATTTTGTATGCAGGGAAGAGCCGACTGAGCCATTCTACTTCTTGGACCTGGAACCTCCCAAAAGACAAGAAAAACTCGAGGAATGAGGAGTTGAGCCTTTCGATTTTTTACGTGCCTCTTGTTGAACAAGTAACTTGAAAATACATGTCTTTGTTTTTTGTCATTATAAATCTAATTATTGTGAAGAGTGATCGATCACTAAGCAGAGTTGATGGTCCATGACTTCTTTTCTGAATAAATGTGTGAGCAGAGTTTGTGTTCGAATTTTACATCACGATATTGTTTTCGGTAAATTTTCCGAGAATTATGTGCTGAATTTAACACAATTTTTTAGTTGGGTCTTGAATTTCCTTGAGCTAAAATATAAATCGAAAGCATATTCTGTCTGACAAGTTGTCGTTCGTGTTTGATCTTTAAGCCCTACTTTGAGTGTGTATGGTATGTCACATTATCTGAATTTACACAATCAATGAAATAATAAAAGAATAATGTATAGTGTGACAATCCCCGGACACATGATTAAGAAAAATGATTTATTATATTAGTCGACAAACGAGCAAATTATTCCCTACTATACAATCTTGTCAACCCTTCGAACCGAAAAGAAAAAAATGTTCCAAAATCTGCTTCTCCTCGATAATTACTTCTCAAATCGTACTCCTATCGACTTATCCGTGCATCATCGTGTATATTCCTAACTAAAGGTTTTACAAATATGTTGTCAGTATACAAAAAAAAAAAAAAAACCGTTTTAACTGCTCGGAGAGGGCAAATCGGTCCCACTTCGTTCGAGATGCCTTCTAGAAGAATCTTCAGTCTTCCTCCGAAACATTTCCTTAATCTCGACTTCTTTCTTATCCACAAAATCCATCAAATCCTTAAAACTCGTTACCCTCAAATTTCTTCTACTAGGGCGAGCGGGTTCTTCGGGTTGCTCAATGTTGTGGTGACTATCGTCTTCTGCGCTGTACCTGGTGTACTGGAAAAAAACCCGACAGAAGAATACTGTTAAAGAAACGAAGCACACGATTGCGCATATTAGGAAAAGTCCCCAAAAGCTCTTGAGAGATAATCGGCTGTCTTCAATGGCGGTTGTTTGACTAGAGCATCCTATTTCGTGAGAGAGCCATTTATCGTGTATTCTTTGGAGTTCTCCGTTTTCGGATAGTTGGAGGATTGCGGTTGATAAATCTATTGATAATGGAGAGTCCCTTTGGAATGCCTAAAAAATCATTTTAATGTGAAGTTAGGATATATATATATGTATAATCAAATATAGATATATTGTCGAGTAATAAAACTTATATAAGCAAATGTGAAACTCATCGGGGCGGCAACCGTTGCATTTAGGGATGAAATTCGGACGGACTGGATCAGAATTAGTGATTTTGAAAATTGAAAATCATTTTTTTCAGAAGTAAAAAAACTAATTTTAGTTTTACTCCAAAAAATTCCGGATATCAGACGATCGTATCTGAATTAGCACTTTTAGAAAAATAACGGGTTTTTTTTCTGAAGTGAAATTAAATTCAATTTCGTTCTAAGAACAAATCTGAAAAGAACTTGTTCCAAAATAGAAATTTTTCGGACCGGAATCAACGGATTAGGAAAATTCCACTTTTTAATAGTATAAGTGTAATATTTGGAAACAAAAATGGAATTTTCGAAAGAACTTCTGGAAATTAAAATCAAATCGGAAATCGGAATCTCATACATATTCCAATTCCAATAAAAAAAATGAAATTTTGGAAATCGGAATGAAAAATATTACTCCATAATCGTAAACTTCCGGATCGGAATTGGTAGAAATCAGAAATTCCGTTCCAATTTCCACCCTGTGTAATATCAATTCCAAACCCGAACCTTTTTTAGAAAAATCGACAATTGGAATAAAAACTGCTGTCCAAAATTGGAACTTTTTTTTTATCGGAATCAGCAAATTTCAAAACTTCTATTCCGATTCCCACCGTTAATTTATATCCGATCCTCTACTAGCTCCTTCTCTAGCTACGTTTCCAACTAAACAAAAACAATATAATAAAATAAAAATACTTACGAATCCCCATCCAGTCTTAGTGAACTCTCGTCCGACAGTACTGTACGAGCACTTTGTGCTTGCCAAAAAAAGCTCAACGTAAGGAAGCTCGTCAACAATGGCAGCCACACCACCACCGCTCGGACCTTGTTCCAACGCCTGAAGATATTCGTCTTGGCTTTTCAATATTCTCAGCCTCGACTCTGCTACATTCAGCTCGTTTATAAGATATCTATACGCAAACGAACCGTCTTGTATCCCTATCGGATCGGAACTAGAGATTAACGTATCTATTCCTTGAATTCTCGACGAGAGTTGTTGTACTGTGAGGATCGAAGTTAAACTAGCTGTGTAGCTCGAGTTTATAATCAGCACTACGAAAAGCCATAGGATTAGAACCGAACGCCCCAATGTGCTCACCGTATTTTCTCCTGCAAAAAAAATTAATAATAATAAAAAAGAATGAATTTATTGATAATTTCGAGATTATTAAATGTCGATAAGCAGATTGTAATTGTAACTTACTGTGTGAGAAGAACATTGTTGAGAAACTAAACCTGAAATAAATCGAAACATATTCAATGAGGAAAAAATCTAACAATGAAAAAAATCGGAATATTTAGGGTTTATTGCATTTAGCACCCCTGTGTTTGCTCTAATTGTCAAAAAACTCCACGTATTTCAAATATTAGCAAAATCCCAATTATGATTCAATTTTATTAGCAAACTACCCCTAAAATGCGTCATTTAGGGGGTTTTGTGCTAATATTTATAACAAGAGGAGGTTTTTTTAGCAATTCGGTACAACACAGGGGTACTAAAGCAAGGAATAACAATTTACAATACAACATTGAGCTAGTATCAAGATTGAACATAGACTTGGGGAAGTATACTAACCAAAAGATTGTTATAAGTTGCTGACGTGGCGAACCTCGAAACTCGGTGTTCGTCCGATGCTCGAGAATCCAAACAACGGCCCCCACGAGGAGAAAGAATATTCCCGTCACCCCCCACATTTGCCACGTGAACGGCATTAGAAATGCCCACGGACTCGATTTACTCTGCTTCACCGGAGCCACCACAACTAAACCCGATTCCATATAAGGCTGCGTAAAATCCACAATCCTCGTTCGATTTGTAGTAATCGTCACATCTCCAACCGACGCATCATACTTCTACAAAAAAAAAAAAAAAAAAAAAAAAACCCAAAATAAATTAAATCAAGAATTCGAAGGTTTCAATATACTAGGGGTAAAACCGGAAAAAAACTATGCTCACATTTTGCGCCACGTCATTCACGAGATCATTATAAGAAGGGTTTCTCAAACCATCTCCATATAAGATATATTGATGAGGAACAGGGTAAGCTAACAACGCGACCGCGGCTTCGAATACGTCGATGCAGTAGCCTTTCGCGCCCATCGGTCCTTTATCCTTCGTCACGAATTCGGGATAACTTATCCGATAAGGCACCGCAATTTTTAGAGGCTTCCCATTATTAGGGAACACCCATCCCCGAGGCTTCACCGTAGTTTCCCCGGGCCATATCGCACTGTATAAATGCTGACTAGTGATGGAATTATTCGGCGGCATTGCGTATAAACTTTCCGGTGGAACAATAGAAAGACCCGAGTAATTCGACCAATAACCGAGCCTCCGGGACCCGCTTCCGCCGTAGTTGAGAATATCGAAAGCTGGGTTGATTAGATTCTTGTCCGAATCGAAACGAACCTCTCCAGTTAGGCCGGTGAAGTTCGTTGCAGTTAGAATGTTAAGCAATTTCTCGCCTTGGTCGAAAATACGAAGGGAAGTGAAATCAAGGGTAGTATTGTTATTTTCTTGCAGTTTCGGATCGTCGGAGAAGCTGATATTTTCGCCGCTAATCAAGAAAGTATCGAGCGCTTTAGCGAGCAACCAAACGGAGTCGTAAGCGTATAAAGCGTACGAATTGAATTTCGAAGATTCTTTATTTTTGAAGCTAGTCTTGAGGTCCGATTCTCGAGTGTAATGACGAAGAGAGACAACGCCTTGTATAAGATCGTTTTTACTCGAATCGATCGTGTCCAAAGAATCGAGAAAACAAGGAAGCCAATCGGTGGCTATCCAAACGTAGCCACTCCCCATCATTCCGAGTCTTTTAGCTACCGCGAAAATATTCAGACCCGAATCTGGATTCACGTGTACGACAAAAACCCGTGATTCCAAAAGATTCGCTTTTACTAACAAGTTGTCCAAATCGGTTATCGAAGCTGTGGGACTAAAGGCTGCCTTGTAAGAAATCCTGGCACGTTTTTTCACGAGTGCGTCGCCTAATGCCGAAATTCCATTTCTGCCGTAATCGTTGTCTACAAATACTGCAACGACTTCTTTCCATCCGAAATAAACTACTAAATCTGCAATTGCGTTCATTTGGAAATAATCGCTTATTGTGGTTCGAAGGAAGTAAGGGTATTGAAGAGACGAAAGTGTGGGGTCCGTTGCACCGAAGGATAAAAGAGGTACGTGGAGTTCGTTCATGAAGTGGGAAATTACGTGGGCTATCCCTGAGGATTGTGGTCCGATCGCTGCTACTATTTTCTTCTCCAGCAGCTGCATAGCTACACAAGAGTATAATGAGGACCCGTCAAAAATTTCGTCGATTTTTTTTTTCGTGGCTAAATCATCGATTTTGGGTGGCCTTGTACTACGACGAAAAAAGCATGTTAAAATCGAGCATTTTCAGTCAGAGCAAAGATGTGAGAAAGAAGACGATAAAAAACACGAAAACGAAGTAATATCAAGCACATGAATTAACATTTCCAACAACAAAAAAAACTAATTTCGTACAATCTTAAGACATGTTTATGTAAGAGGACTTTTTTCTCCAGCAACCACATAGTTACACGAGTCAACGAGGCCGTGTCAAAAAAAAGTTCTCGATTTTTTTTTCTTTTTTTTTTTGTGGTTAAATCATCAATTTTTCATGGAATTTTACTAAAAGAAATACACAAGTTAAAATCGAGCATTGTCAATTAAATCAAAGACGTGCAAACGAAGACGATAAAAAAAATGAAAAACGGAGTATACATCAAGAACATTAACTAACATTTTGATCAATCCTAGATAAAAAAGACTAGTTTTTTACAATATTTAGAGGGCATTTCTCCATTGGGACGGAAGACGATTAAAAAAAACACGTAGATGGATTGATTAATTAATTAATTACCTTCGACAGTGCCAAGAAATCCACTGCAATTAGTGTCCTGCAAAACAAGGTTGAGCATTGAACCTTTAAGAATGGTGGTGTCGGAATTTACGTCATCGATTGCAGCAACTAGAGCTGGTCCAGCTGACCTTCCAATGGCGGAATTTACAGTGTACAAAGCTCCAATATCTATCACTCTTTTTTTCTCTTCAGACACAAGTACAACACTTGAATTTTCTGTTTGCCCAATAATAACTTCCATGCCAACCCACAAACAAGAAATCAAGAAAACCAGAACCCTCCTCGTACAGAAACAAGACTCCATTTTTAGGCGGTTAAACAGTTTAAAAATCTTGACTTTACAACACCATTTTTCTTCCAAGAGGAATCAAACAAACACCTGCTATAAAAAAAAGAAAAAAAAAATAATATAAAAAAAAGACCCTAAAAAAACCCAGAATAATCTTGAATTTACACCACCATTTTTCGTACAAGAGAAATCAAAGAAACACCTGCTAAATAAAATAAATAAATAAAAACCTTAAAAACCCAGAATAATCTTGAATTTACACCACCATTTTTCTTACAAGAGAAATCAAACAAACACCTGCTAAAAAATAAAAATAAATAAATAAATAAATAAATAAAAAATCCTCAAAAAAGCCAGAATAATCTTGAATTCACACCACCATTTTTCTTACAAGAGAAATCAAACAAACACCTGCTATAAAAATAAAAAATAAATAAAAAAATTATAAAAAACCCCTCAAAAACCCAGAAAAATCTTGAATTTACAACACCGTTTTTCTTACAAGAGAAATCAAACAACCACCAGCAAAAAAAAAAACCCAGAATAATTTATTACAAGAGGAATCAAACAAACAACCTGCTAAAAAAAGAAACCTCTAAAAAACCCAGATTTTTGTTTTAGTCAGAGGTTTAAGATTTTTTTTTATTTTTCTATTTTACAAATGCTAAGTTAGCAACCAATAAATTATAAATCAAGAAGATATGGAGGGGGTTTAAAATTTAACAGACAGTAAAAGATGGGGGGCCAGCCGAAGGGGGGGTGGGGGGGGCAGATTTTGACAAATTAATAACCCTTATTCAAATACAACTACTTCATTGGGTAATAATATAAGTTATATAACCGATGATATATGTATATATATATATATATCCAGATAAAGACAAAAACCAAGTTGCACATCAGACTTTTTGATTCCCATTTGAAGTAAGGAGAGAGGGACAAACATCCATAAATAAATAAATAAATAATAAGAACGTGGATTAAAATATGTTTGATTATAATATTATTAATATTCTTACATACATCCTAGAACGTCTTCTTCTTGAAGACAGCACAGAACCAAGTCACGTACACATTAGATTACAAAATATTATTATTAGCTAATCATTGCAAGAACTTGTTAATGAAGGTGGTTAATTAATTAATTAATTAATTAATATGGATAATATTAATTAATTAATAAAATACAAGTTGGGTTCGTTTGTCAATAGATTTTTGCAATCTGAACGCAGACACACGGACCACGTAGTCGGTAGGTGGCAACTTGTTGGGCATGCAGTAATGTTGCCTCAAGTTTGAACATTTCTAAAGGCTTTTTGTTTGTGCGTGTGTTTTTGTGTGTGTTCGTGCGTGTTTTTATCGGGGTGTGTGTGTGTGTGTTTTGGCAACTATATTGTGTACGAGTCAAGAGAATTAATTAGCTTTTATGTGGGTATGGTCATGGGGCGGGTTTTGAAAAATCTGCACCTGTCTCGCTAGCAAATTTTTCCACCAGTGCCCATAGTCGAGTTGAGAAATTTGTTTCAGGGTGGACTTAAATTTTCGGGGGTTCGGGGGCAGCGCCACCGAATTTTTTTTATGATTTTTTTGTGACAAATCAGAAAAAAAAGGAAATGTAAAAAAATTATCTTTTTTTGCATTAATTTGAATTTTGGGTGGACTAATTAATAAAAACTGGGGTTCTTTTGTATTAATTTAAATTTTGGGTGAGCTAATTAATAAAAATTGGGGCTTTTCTTGGATTAATTTTAATTTTAAGTGGACTAATTAATAAAAATTTGGATGGACTGAATAGATATATATGTATAATATAGAGTAAAAAATATAAATTTAGGGGGCTTGACTCCACCTTTGCCTAAGGGTGGACTCTCCACTGCCTGTACCCGTTGTGTGTATGATTTTATAAAACCCACTCACGCACCATATAAAACACGTCCCGTACCCACTCCGACTTGTACCCGTAATTTTTATTTTATTTTATATTTTGAATTTATTAAAGTGAGATATCTCTAAAAAATAGTAGTTAATAATGTAAAAAATATATGAAATTAATAACAACATATAAACAGGTTGATACAAGGTAGATAATTGTGCATATATTCAAAACCCATACTCACTGCGAGTGAAATTTTTAAAACACGTACCCACACCATTAGCTAACGGGATGGAGATTATCCAGTAAATTCGGGACGGGGCGGGTACCCAGTGGGTAGGGTTACATTGCCATAAATTGCCATCCCTTACTTGTACAAAAGATGGAATTAGAAAGCTTAAAAAGGCTAGTTAATAATAGTCTTCTTAGCTAGGAAAAGAATGATTCTTTGTTATCTATTTTAACTAACTTCACCGACTACTTGTCTGATATTTAATTAATTAATTAATTAATTTTATTTCTTTTAACTATTTGCATTGCTTGTTAAATACCCTCATAGTAAACTTTTAAGTTCTTTCTTATTTCGTGTCTTATGGCTTCCTTTTGTAACCGTATATTATACACTCAAATCTTGTACTAAAAAGCGAAATTTCTCATCCACAGTGTCCCAATTTCTTGGTCCGACAAGTATTTGATGGAGGAATGTAAATCATGATTACTTAACAGCATGTCAGGGTAACGGACCCGGACATGGTGCTCACAAGGAATCAACCCTCATTGGAGTTGAAATTCTCACACTGTGGCTGGCATAATTCGATCCTAGAACCATGTGCCAGCATTATACACTCAAATCTCAATCCTTGTTAGGAGAGTTAATGTTTGACAGTGATGATGCTAGAGATAGATCACCTTAGATAATTGTAGGATGAGCTAGAAGAGCAGAGTGGATCACTGGCTCACGAGCTTGATGACCTTGAGATACCTACGATCATAGAACACGTAAACTAAGCCGGGGGTTGATCCGGCGGAAACCCCTCTGACGCTCAAGTCAGACGTGCGGATAGAAGAAATAGTCCAGAGAATACATGTGGAAGTATTGCTCAGATAATAGGACGTACCTTATAGAACGAGTTCAAATCTTTATTTATACCTCATTGATTGGGCTGAAGTTTAATTAGTTGAGATTGTCGGACAAAAACCTTATTTAAAGGTGATAGGGCCTCGGTAGTAGTGGTCGTCAATATTGGGCTCGTGGCCCAGTAGGCAAAGAAATTGTTGTCCTATTGGGTTGGCCCAACTAGGCATATCATTAAGCCCCCCACTCTCGAGTCGATGTGGAGGCCATGTTGAAGTGCACACCAGATCGTGTCGAGAGTAAAAATTGTAGTGGTCGCTCGTTGGCGTATGGCCTGATGATGTGCGAAAATGCGTTGGAGCGTGTGTCGGAGAGGCGTCAAGGCGCGTTGGCGCGTAGCGAGACCAAGTTGTCGCGATGTAAGTTACTTGAGTCGTCGGTGTTGTCCTGCGACGATGTAGTAGCGCAGAGCGAGTTATCTCCTCGTTGGAGTTGTCTCTTCGCAGGGTAAGAGAGTTGATCGAGTTATCTCCTCGTGGGAGTTGTCTCGTCGCTGTTGGCCGAAAACCTACACGCAAGTGCACGTATCGTACAAGTAATATAGTGGACTAAAAGTCCGAATATCGAACCCACAGGGAATATTTAATTATCTAATCCTAGACGCTAAATTCTACCAATTATTATCAAGCCCACCCTACACAGTCGAATTTTAGAGAGAATTAACTAAATTAAATTAAAAGGCAAATTAAAACGACAAAGCAAGAAAGCAAATTAAACACGAAGATTTATCAGAGTTAACGAGCCTAGGATTTTATTCTTCCCCCTATGTGATTATTACTCCCACAATTCTTTCAATTATGCAAGCAATTAACCCAGATTATTAACCTCAGATGCTAAAATAATCATAACCCGCTTCCGCGTGTATTACGATTCTAATACTCTAGATTCAATTACTATATTCCAATGCAATTAATTCTAGAACACAGCATTAAGCACAAATCTCAATAATGGCTACCTAAGAGATTAACTATATTCCTATGTTAATACCACAAAGGCTCTTCTACCACAGTTCTAATTATTAACCCGATCTTCCGATTCATGCGATTAACAATAACATAAAAGCATATAAGTTGATCAAGTTCATGCACTTAATAAAACAAGTAGAAGAAATAATCTGGAATTAAAACTTGCATAAAATCATAGAAAAGGGTTCATAAATCCCACATAGGGTACCAAACAAAATCCTAGAAATAAGAAATTTAGCTACTCATGATTAAAGGAAAAACACAAATAAAATAAATCATAAACGATAAATCGTTGCTTGGAGTCTTCGAATTCTTCGTCTTCGTTATTGCTTTGTTGCTCTTGAAATTGCGTAAAAAAAGTTTTTCAATTGTGTGCTTGGATTGGTCTTATATAGGGTGAAGGATTTAGGGAAGAAAGCAGTTTCCTTGTGCAATTAAAATCCCTTTACTGCGCCACCTCGACCATCCGGACGGCCGTGTGAGATTTACGCCTGAAATCCGCACGGCCGCGCGGTCTTCAATTCTTCAGAAATCTGATTTTTTCACTTTTGGCCCACTTTTTCTCCGAATTTGCAGTTTTCACCCCATAAGTTGCCAATTCTTCAATTTGCACCTAAAATACAAATAACAACCATTTTAAGCACCAATTATCATTAAAACACACCAAAAGCTCCAATTAAAAGGTACAATTAAGTGTATAAATATACACTTAACAGTCGCAGGGTAATATCTCCTCGTGGGAGTTGTCTCGCGATAATGTAGTAGCACGGAGCGAGTAATCTCCTCGTGGGAGTTGTTATTTATTGACATTGTCAATATTTTGACGCTTTGCTTGTATGTGTTTACATATAGCCTTGTGCGTGATGTACTTGAGGAGGGGATCAGGCTCTCAAGATTTTTTTTATGGGGATTGTGCCCCTTGTTAGATCTCGTGGGTCGTAAGTATGTTTGGACCGTGGCCACGTTTTAATGAAGGACCCGTCGAAAACAAGTAGATAAATTTGAGTAGTCAAGCTGGCGAGGCTATATAGATTCCCATAATATCTCTAAGTATTTCTGGGGTTGTAATCGTGTGAACTTGAGCTTGCGATTATGTAGTGAATTGCGGGCGAGTTGTCTCCTCGTGGGAGTTGTCTCGCAGCGAAGTTGTAGGATCGAGCGAGTTGTCTCCCCGTGGGAGTTTTGTCTCGCTGCTGGTTCGTAGTACCGAGGGAGTTGGCTCCTCGTGGGAGTTGCCTCGCAACGGGTTTGTAGGACCGAGCGAGTTTGCTCCTCGTGGGAGTTGTCTCGCAACGGGTTCATAGGTTCGAGCGAGTTGACTCATCGTGGGAGTTGTCCCGCTGCGGGTCGTAATTCTGAGCAAGTTGACTCCTCGTGGAAGTTGTCTCGCAAGCCCCCACTCTCGATTCGATGTGGGAGCGAAATCGAAAAAGATACCGGATCGTGTCGAGGGTAGATCGTTGTAGTGTTCCATTAATCGTTGGTGTGGCGTGGTGAAATAATAATTTGTATTTATCCATTTGGGAGCGCGCGCCATTTGGTGAGGCACATTGGAGAGCGCGCGTGATTTGGTGGAGCGTGTTGAAATTCTCGCGCGATTTGGTGAAGCGAGTCAAAATCTACACGCGATTTGGTGGAGAGTACTGAGAGTTCGCGCGCGCTCTGAGGTAGGGAGAGGCGGCGCGCTTTGGAGGACGCGCAGTGGGGGCTGAGGTGCCTTGGAGGAGGCGCGCATTGGGACGCGCGGTAGGTTACTGATGTGCATTGAATTTGTTCGCACATGGGTAGGCGCGCGCATTTAATGCAAGGAGAGAGATAGAGGAGCTGTGAAGAAATTCATTAGGAGGCGCGCGCAATTAATGTAGGAGAGAGATGGGTGGCGTAGCTAGGTAGACGCGTGGCTGGCACGCGCGCCTGCTGTACTGCTCTCTTCACCCTTTTTTTTTTTGGTGTTTGATGTCCACCCCTTGGGGATGATGTTCTATTGTTTGAGTAGGGAGACCATATCCTACCCTTGAGATGGGATGTGAAACCCTTGGGGTTGAAAGGTTAAGGGGATGTATCACCCTTGAGATGTGATGTCCAACCATTGGGATGAGATGGCAAAACTTGGGGTGAGATATCCCCTAGCTCAGGATGAGGCGATCACGAAACCCTGTTATGGTTTTGAAGGACTCCAAATGTCGTCGTAAGGGAGAAGCATTGCCTCTTGGAGGTGAATGTGGGCGTTGTTTCCCAATTCGTATTTCTCGGCGATGAGTGATTTGATGTATTCGGAATTGAGGGTTCGATGTAAATGCCCACGACACACTCGTTTGGTGGTCGTTACCTTGTAGCGGTGGTTGTGCTACGGGTGGAGCCGCAGGAGGAGTGTTGCTCATACTATGGTGATGTATTGTGTCATTGCTTCAGTGGCAGCACGAGTTGAAGCTTTCGCGGTCATATGTTGAAGATCATCTTCGGTTATCTGAACCGTTAGAGGAGCAAGGACAAGTGGATCATGTTGAGGACCCAGTGGGGCCTCGGGAGGAGGAGCGTTGACTCCCGTTGTGGTGATATATATATGGTGCCACAGCTTCAGTGGCACGAGTTGAAGCTTCGGCAATGAAACGCTAAAGGTCCTCCTCGGTTATCTGAACCGTTCGAGGAGCAAGTAGAAGTTGATCATGTTGAAGCTTCCGCGATCATACGCTGAAGGTCCTCTTTGGTTATCTAAACCGTTCGAGGAGCAATGAGAAGTTGATCATGTTGAGGACCCAGTGGGGCCTCGCGAGGAGGAGCGTTAGCTCCTGCTATAGCGATGTATGGTGCCACTACTTCAGTGGCAACACGAGTTGAAGCTTGCGCGATCATACGCTGAAGGTCTTCATCGGTTATGTGAACCGTTCGAGGAGCAAGAAATAGTTGATCTTGTTGAAGCTTTCGCGATTATAAGCTGAAGTTCTTCTTTCGGTTATCGGAACCGTTCAAGGAGCAAAGAGAAGTTGATCCTATTGAGGACCCAGTGGGGTCTCGCGAGGATGAACTTGTGTTGAATCCCGAATGCGGGGAGGGGGAATCGACAAGCCAGAGCCTCCATGAGGTGGGAGGTTGTTAGCGTTGAAGGGCCTTCTCAGTTATCTGAACCGTTCGAGGGGCGGGAAGAAGTGGATCATGTTGATGATCTAGTGGGACATCACGATGAGGGTCTCGTGGTGGATCCCAAGCACGAGGATGATGAAGTGGCAAGTCAGAGCCTCCACGAGGTGGGAGCTTGTTAGCAGTGTCACAATCCCCTCTTAGTAAATGTCTCAAGGCCATCATGCGCGCTACGGGACTATGTCTGCCTTCCCACAGACAGCGCCAAAATGATGATGCTAGAGATAGATCACCTTAAATAGTTGTAGGATGAGCTAGAAGACCAGAGTGGATCACTGGCTCACGAGCTTGATGACCTTGAGATACCTGCAATCATAGAACACGTAAACTAAGCCGGGGGTTGATCCGGCGGAAACCCCTCCGACGCTCAAGTCAGACGTGCGGATAGAAGAAATAGTCCAGAGAATACATGTGGAAGTATTGCTCAGATAATAGGACGTACCTTAAGGAATGAGTTCAAATCTTTATTAATACCTCATTGATTGGGCTGAAGTTTAATTAGTTGAGATTGTCGGACCAAAACCTTATTTGAAGGTGATTGGGCCTCAGTAGTAGTGGTCTTCAATATTGGGCTCGTGGCCCAGTAGGCAAAGAAATTGTTTGTCTATTGGGTTAGCCCAATTAAGCATATCAGATAGTTATTACTTATTACAATCGGGGCTCGTTCGGCTACCTACATCGGATTAATTTGTATTAGATGCGATTAGATTAATTCTCCATTGACTAGTTAGTAAGACGTTTGGTTCATTGAATTCGATCTTGTATTAAATCTGTTAAATTCTGGTATTATATGTGATTTGTCTATAAAACCATTTATGTTTAAAAAAAAATAACATGTAATTTGAAGGATAAAATAGTATTTTACTTGTCAACCGAACATATTACTAACCCTAACTAGTCAGTAAAACCTTCTAACAGTAACCAAACAAGTAGTCCTTAGAAAATAAGTTTTATGTTTAAATTTTGACAAATTTGCTGAATTAAAAAAATGACAAGTTTATAAATAATAATACTTAACCTATCCTCATTAGAGAAGTTGGTAGTACCTTGTTCTCCTAGTTTCACATGTCCCATGATTTGAATTAAAATAGCTTAATTACACCTAACTCCCTTGAGGTTAGGTGTAACTACAGCTACATCCCTTATTGTTTGAGAAATTTGCAACGAGAGTATTTAAACAAATCAATTTTTAAATTCTATAATAAAACACATAATAAAAATGATATTATACAGGTAATTTTTGGCATTACTTTTGGAAATTAAAATCGAAGCGAAAATCGTAATTTTATATGTATTCCAATTCCAATACAAAAAGAATTCAGGAAAATTGGAATCAAATTTTTCTTTTTTTTTTTTTTTTGAAATTCTAAATGAAAATTTAGTCCTAAAATAAATAAATAAATAAAATTATTAAAGAGAATAAATGAGTAGCAATGAAGATATGGAGTGAAAGAAAGAGACTAGAGAGAGACGCCAATTTGAATTGCAAAGCTATCACATTCATGGGTCACACACTACTACTACTATTCTTCCTCTTCCAAGTCAACTTCATTGATATTTGAAGTTTCCCCAAATTTAAATTTATTTAAAGAAAATCCTTTTTCCTCCACACCACACTAATGTTTATGATGTAATAGCGCTTGGAATTGCATAATTGGATTGCAAAAAAGAACTATTCATTCCAAAGTAGTCGTTGAAAAATAATGTTATTATGGCATTTTCTTTATTTAAAATAAGTTTATTTGATGCGTACATTTAGACATGCTTAGTCACCATTATATAGAGGGAGTTATATGCTACACCCGCATGAGTGTTACTCAACTGGTTCCGGAGATAGTAAATTGATGCAAGTTATATGCTACACCGGATTATATGTATGTGCAGATTTACGATTAATACGGATGCTAATAACCCAATATATAGCACAAAATTTCCCATAACATGTTGTATTATCTAAATAAAAATAAATGAAAACCCCACCCCTCTAGTAAAATTTCTCACCGCTTTTTTTTATATATATTTATAATATATTTGATAAATTATCTCTAAAAAATAGTATTTTATAATATAAAAACTACATAAAATTTATATAAATATAGGGCAATTACGGCCACCCTGAGGTATGGCTAAATTACAAAAAAAAAAAAACTCCTATTTGGGTAATTACAGCCACCCCTCTTAAATATTTTTACATTAAGTTTATGTAATTCTGTTATTTACCGAATCAAATCGTATATTCAGTTCGGTAAACAGTATGAAATGTTGGCGTACCGAAATTTTGATTAGACTTTACCGAATTAACATCCCGAAATTTACCTCGGAGGGGTCTTTTCGTAAGATAATACATAATTGAGGGGGTGACTGTAATTACCCAAACAGAAAGAGGTTTTCATAATTTGACCATAACACATGAGTGTGGCCGGAATTTGCCCTAAAAATATATGAACGAGTTGGGTACTGGGCGGGTAAAGGTGCATATGTTCATAATCCGTACTAGTTCAATACCAGCTACGGGTGAAACTTTTAAAACCCGTACCCACCCCATTAGCTAATGGGGTGGGATTACTCGATAAATCCATGACGAGGCGGGTATCCAATTGAGCGGATTAAGTTGTCATCGCTAAGAAAGATGTCCTAAGTCCTTAGTATAGAATCATTCCGATTAAATCCAACAATTGACATTTCACAAACTAAATTAGTACCCCATGTTAGGTAGCATAGAATGATAAAAAAAAAAAAATTAGGACAAAAAAAAAAGGGTAGGAACATAAAAATTGAATGCGTATCCTTCCAGCAGAAAGATCCATTGTTCACTCTTAAATGGTGCCAACAAAATAATTGAAGTGGCACCCCATTAACATTGAAACCAGACAAGACGATCTAACACAAGTACTTCATCACTGTCTGAATATCATCATCTATCCAACAAAGGCTTAATTTTTATTACCAAAAAAATTAAAATTAAGGAAAATACTATTTCATGCCTCGAGGAATTGCTTTCCCTCCCCGATAAAGGAAGCCGTAAATCTCCGTCCCATCAAACGGGACGTAAATAATAAATTGTTTATTCTCACATTTTATGTAAAAATAAAAAAAGAACTCCGGTCGATAGCTGATGAGCATGGTCAATTACTGCTTAGCAGCCAGCTGTCGAATAACGTATTGGAGAATACCGCCATGGTTGAAGTAAGCAAGCTCAACCTATAAGATGGAAGTATCGACTATCAAAACGATTGATCACCGAAAAAGCAAAGAATATCAAGACTCAATTGTGTTTGTGTGTGTTTTTGTGTGTGAATGAACGATAGATATTATACACGGTGTATATCATGTGATGTAGCATCTACTATAAATCTTTCGAAAATTGTGAAACAAAAAGGATGAGTGAATGTGATACCTCAGTGTCGAAGCGAACAGTGCATGTGAACTGTTTTCCAGTGTCGGTTTTGACGGTAATATCTTGTCCAGGGCGTATATCAGATACACTGCTTGGAAGATCAATAGTGTAGCGTTCATGGCCAGTCAATCCTAATGTGTCTGCATCCTCACCGGACTTGAAACACAGAGGAACAATTCCCATCCCTACAAGATTACTTCGATGGATCCTTTCAAAGCTTTTCGCAATCACTGCTTTAACACCCTGTTATATATAATATGACAAAGTCAACCACATTATTTCCGATTTTTCTTGTAGTATCCAGAATGGGAAAAGAATTTGATAAAATAGTTTTTGTTCGTGTTTTGAGTTGGAAGAAACTGAAATAAAGTGATGCATGTCAGTAATTTAGTAGAGATGTTATTACAAATCATGCATGTGCACAAGTTCTAATGATTTAAATCTCATTTTCAGAATTAAATTGAGAAGCTTTAACATTTACCGATTTAGAAAATGAAAACATGTAAGAAGAATTTAAAAGGGTAAAATGACATAGTTAGAAACTCACCAACAACATAGGACCCTTGGCAGCCCAATCTCTGGAGCTTCCACTTCCATACTCATCTCCAGCCAAAATAATAGTGTCTTGTCCAGCAGATTTGTATTTCTGCAAATTGCGTTTATTCGAAACAAATATCGTATTATAAAAAGTAAACATAGAAGAAAAAAACGATAAATAAATTGCCTGAGAGAGAGAGAGAGAGTCACCATTGCAGCATCAAATACGGTAAGTTTCTCTCCAGAAGGAATGTGAATAGTCTTGGGGCCCACTTCACCATTCAACAACTTGTTCAGAATACGAATATTTGCAAAAGTTCCTCTCGCCATTATCTCATCATTGCCACGTCGACTACCATAGGAGTTGAATTGCCTGCTATTAACTCCACGCTCCATGAGATACTTGGCAGCAGGACTGTCCTTGTTGATGCTGCCAGCTGGCGAGATATGATCGGTCGTTATAGAGTTGCCAAAGTTGAGCAAGCAGTAGGCATCCTTCACTCCATGTGGGCCCGGGGGATCCATGGTCATGCCCTCGAAGTATGGGGGCTCATGGATGTAGGTTGAAGTTGGGTCCCACGAGTATAGCTTTTCAGCTGCAACTGCTAACTCATTCCACACAGGGTTGCCTGTGGTGATAGCCTTGTATGTGCTCTTGAACATCTCGGGTAATACATTGTTTTGAACCACCTACAAAGAGATTTTGGTCGTATTGGAAAGCGGAATTTCGGAAATTGGAATGGAAAAATTTGTTCCAAGAACGAATATTTTTGGAATCGGAATCGGCACAATTCGATATAAGTGTACTCTTCAGAATTTCCGGAATTATTTTTTGGAAATTAAAATCGGATCAGGAACAGAATCTCATATATTCTAATTCCAGTAAAAAAATCGGAAAAATCGGAAAACGGAATTTTTGGAATTCGGAATGAAAAATATTGTTCCATAATAATTAAGATCGGAGACGGCAGAAATTGGAAATCCCGTTCCAATTTCCAATCCTAATTCCAAGTCAACAACCAGTACAAAAAAATCAACAAACATACCTCAGCTACTTCTTCATTTGATGGCCATATATCCCTAAAATACACATCTTTACCGTCCTTGCTTACACCAATTGGCTCTTTGTCAAAGTCGATATTAACCTGTTTAAAGAAGTTGTAAAGGTCAACTTACCAAATCTCATACCCAGCCCTCTTAATACTAATACTACAAGTATGTCAGATATTGTACTCAGTTGGTTGATCATACATGAAAATATGTACCAAATTCATTTTTTTTATATAACTATTCTGACAAATTGTAGATAGCGGTATTAAGGAACAAATCACTAACCGTGCCAGCAATGGCATACGCAACAACTAGAGGAGGCGATGCAAGATAGTTTGCTCTTGTCAATGGATGAACCCGACCCTCAAAGTTACGATTTCCAGAAAGTACAGCAGCTGCCACAATGTCTGCATAAAAGCAATCATAATAACTCAAATTAGAGAAAAAAACTCATTTCATTGAAACAAAACAAAACGACACTCATGTGGTGGAGTTTTTTGCGTAGTGTGGTATTTTTAGCCCCCTCTGAAAAAATAGAGTGAATACCATTTTCTGTGATAGCATCACCGACCGTTTTTTCCAAGTCACCGGAATTCCCAATGCAAGTAGTACAGCCATACCCCACAATATTGAAGCCTTGCTCATTTAAGTATTTCTGTAGCCCACTGCATCATGTAAACAAACACGCATATTTATTTCTGCATTTGGCAAATTGGGCTTAAAACTAAAATCCACAACAATTACCTCTCCTGCAAATATTTTGTAGCAACTCCAGAGCCTGGAGCAAGACTTGTCTTCACCCATGGTTTTACCTGTATAGAATGTACCACCATTAGCTTAACATTGAAAAGGGGTGCGCCTGAATCAAATAATGACGTTATTTTGTAATAAGACGGTTATAACCTTTAGACCAAGCTCACAAGCCTTTTTGGCAACAAGGCCTGCACCAAGCATAACACTGGGGTTTGATGTATTTGTACAACTCGTGATAGCAGCAATTACAACACTGCCGTGCTTAAGCTCTGCAGGTTCTTCTCCCTTGAATAAAAACTTCACTACTTTTTCTTGTGTTTCCTTTGGCACAGCAAAGCCCTGCATCACAAATTACAAGCAGCGATGAATATACTATCATGACATTTTGATACTTCTACTCAAATTAATTTCACCGACACATAAAGTACTACAAAGTTCCTACGACTTGATGTCAACAATAACTATTAAATTGTGAATACTTCGGTAATTTCCCCTTTTTAGTAGGTTCATTGTTTTTTTTTTTTCCAAATTTATTGTTACTTTTTCTTATTTTCTCAAAGTATTGTTAATTTTTCTTATTTTCTCAAGGCGCTCGGTTTCTCAGGGTCAGCAGAAGGCAAAACTAAAAATTTGAAATTTGAGCCCTTATTTACTTTTAATAAAATTTTATTTTCGTATTGTACAAATTTATAAATATTAGCTCTTAATAATTTATTTTATAAACTTTAGGCATATATCCTATATAAAATATTAAAATTCATTTTATTTTTAAGGATTCTTAAGAAGTTCATATGATTTAGAGGCCCTAGACATAGATCTAATAAAAAAAATATATTAAAAAAAATAAATAATCATGTTCATATATGTCAAAGAGACACGTCAAGAATAAGGTGCTACAGTTAACTTGACAATTGCTGCAAAGGGTTCTTGTCTTTGAAATGCAAGTCGGTATTATTCACGGAGTAGATAAACTTAGTGTAATTGATTATAAAAAACCAACAAAATTTCATTATATCCGAGGTTAAACTCTCACCTTGAATCCAACTTTACTGTCAAGGCAAGAATGCCAATCAGCTTTCATGTCTTTCAAAGGGACACGATCATGAGGCCTGTCAAGAAAAGTATAATCAGCTATGAGCAAAAAAATTGCAACTGCTAAAGATGATTGTGTGTGCAAAATAAGTGTGGGACAAACCTCTTTGGTCCAGAAACACACGGTACAACATCTCCCAGGTCTAGGTGCAAATAAGATGAGTACACTCTTTCTTGTTGAGGCTGAAATTTGGGGAAAATAAAATATGTTAATCTCTGAAAAAACAAAAAAATTATTTTCTATGAACATTATATCATAGAGCTACCATAGAGTCCTACCTCGCTGTAGTCCACAAACATATTGTTTGCACGCAGATAAGCTTCTATCATCGACACCTAATTATCATTATATAAGAGGCAACTTTCTTTTAGAACGCAAAGAATAAAATAATTTTTTTTTATATTTCAGGGCATCTAAATAAAATGTACTTACAGTCTCGTCACTTCTGCCTGTTAATTTCAGATATTGTAAGGTGACTTTATCGACAGGGAAAAATCCCATAGTGGCACCATACTCTGGAGACATGTTTGCTATGGTGGCTCTGTCAGCTAATGAGATTTCACCGACACCAGCACCTTAACAACAAATAAACATGCATGATTAGCTCCTTAATACAGATAGAGATGTGTGAAGCACTAAAGATTATGCAGTATTTTTACCATAAAATTCGACAAATTTTCCAACAACTCCGTGCTTCCTTAGTATTTGCGTGACAGTTAAAACCAAGTCAGTAGCAGTGACACCGTCAGGTAATTTCCCGGATAACTTGAACCCAACAACTCCCGGCAACACCATGCTCATTGGCTGTCACAGGATATTAATACAAATGTCATCAACCGTATATACAGTTTTAGGCACAACTATTGAACTTTAAAAAACTTAATCAGCTCTAGAGAAAAACACGGGACAATCTACACGTCTCCTTCAATAATTGTAGAATAGTGCACAACACAAATATATATATATATATATATATATATATATATATATATATATATATATATATATATATATATATATATATATATATAAACACTATTAGATGGATGTAAATTAAGAAATCAAATAGATTATCCTACAATGTTTTCCATACATTTCAGAGAACAGCAAACAGAAAATAAAACCAAGACAAGCCCTCGTATAGAAATGCTCTGCACTATTTATAGTTATTACCTGACCAAGCATTGCTGCTTCAGCTTCAATACCTCCAACTCCCCAACCAGCAACTCCAAGCCCATCAATCATGGTGGTGTGGGAATCAGTCCCAACCACACTATCCGGATAGAGCAAGCCTTCGTTGTTGAAGACAACCCGAGCAAGATATTCAAGATTAACCTAAAAATATACCATGGGAAACAACTCAATTGTGTTTTCATTAACGCAGATGATAAAGGTACAAACTCTACTGAGTGACACTAAACGACTTTGTCCACAGAATTTTGAAATGGTTTCATCATTTTTATGATCCAATTACCTGGTGCACTATACCCGAGCCTGGTGGAACAACAAGCATGTTTTGGAAAGCATTTGATCCCCACTTAAGGAAAGCAAATCTCTCCTTGTTTCTCTCGAATTCAAGCTTCTGGTTTTCTTGAACAGCATCTTCTGTTCTTGCAATGTCAACTTGAACCGAATGATCAATAACCAGATCTACTGGAACCTGCAAGCCCACCCAGAAAATTGGAGTTAGAAATCATAGCAGCTTTCATTTTTGGTTTAATATCCTTAATTGGGATTCCTTTTCTCTATAGGCTCGAAATAGTTTTTGAGCCATTGGTTAATGCAATCTGGATACATTTCATTAATTGCTCCTTATTGCATGTATGATTCATACATATACTTTTATTTATTTGATATCCGTTACAAGACTCCACACAACAGCTATTAGGAGTTAGGCGTTGAAGTTTGTGTTTCAAACTTCATTTATTCTTGATAAACAACTACGTGGCATTTCGGAGATCCAAGGAAGTATTCCAGGGGACATGCAAACTTCCCTTGACATATTCTGCTTGACTTATTACCTACTTATGTGCCTATGATCCGAATCTAGGTAACATTACTAGTGAGAATTTCCAATATTTCGCTACTAAAAAGGAATACAAAACAAGAGAGGACATGGTGCATACCAATGGGTTGATCTTGTCAGAATCACCGCCGAGCTTGTTCATAGCATTACGCATGCAAGCCAGGTCAACAACAACAGGTACACCAGTAAAATCCTAGCAACAAAAAGGAACATTTTCACATGAAATCTCCGTACTAATTGTTAAAGATACCAAAGTCAATATAATACAAACCAAGAATAATACCTGGAGAAGTACACGGGCAGGCTTGAAGGGAATCTCAACCTGATTTGGTGAAGTCTTTTCCCAGTCAATAATTTTCTCAACATCAGCCTTAGTCACTTGGAAGCCATCACAATTACGTATAGCAGATTCAAGAAGGATTCTAATAGAGTATGGCAGCTTATCTGTTGTCACAGCACAAGCACATAAAACCATCATTACAACGTATCAAATTGAGATATCCTCAATGCATAATATATTTTTTGAATCAAATCAAAAGAAATTGAAGATATCAGATTTTGGTACATATGAGATTGCAAACGCAAGTACGTCTAAAAATATGATAAATAACAAGAATATTAAGAATATTTACCTATCCTCGGATCATTTAGAGCAGGGAGACTGTAGAACTTTCCAAATTCACCACCGCCAGGCTTGGGAAGACTGGTGAAAATTCCCTTGAAGGCATTTTCAGAAGCTGAAACCATATATCACGAGGAGTGCAGTTTGCTCAATGTTAGAAACTCAAATTATTCTTCAACAAAAAATACACTTAACTATAGAAAAATTCTTTCCCTAGAACTTTATGCCACCAAAACAAATTACCGACGCAAAAATAAATATACTGTCCGTCTTCTCATGCAAAAGTTTCTGACATGAGATTGCAAAGTTCGAAAGAAAATACGTTAAAAGTCAAATCCGATGTACCTTTTTCAAATAATAAACAAATAAAAAATACTAGATCGCAGTCAGCGTCAATTCTGTCATAGAAAACAAAAGAGAAAGACACCAAATTTCACATATGACTACTGTGGAACAATTTCAGATTGTACATCAAAGTCAAACAATTAGCAACTGAATATCGAATTTAGAAACCAGGATCCATCTTCCATTTCTCACAAAAAAATTGAAACATAAATTTAGATTAAGTTGATCAAACATTATATATATGATAGATCAAAACCACTCAGAATTCCACGATCAAATAAACAAAATCCCCATTTTCCAACAACAAAACGAAAATACACAATCCGACAACACAAAATTGCAGCTGATAAGTCAAACATTGATTTAAATAATTAAAAAAAAAAAAAAAAGGAACCGAAGCTACAAAATTACCCACCCATAGTAGCGATCTTGCGGTGCAGCAGAGTATCAGAGAAAGCAGATGAGATTCTGATCTGCGACGCTAAACTGGCAGGCGATTTCCAGTCAACGCCGTGGCTCCAACGCGCCGCCGACAAATAACTCAGAGATCGGGTCTGCTGGCTCCCAACAGAGTGCGACGAATTACTACTAGGGGAAGGCGAAGCCGGCTTTTTAGAGAGAGAAGAGAATACTCTTTTGCCAGTGCGCGAAGAAGATGAGGAGTGAGAAGCTCTTCTGAGTAGGGCGGAGGTGCCACTCGTTATATACATGGCAGAAACTGTTCAATCAATCAATGGCGACAAATCTCATTCAATCCGAACGGTATGGAGGAAGGATTGATTGCAAGGTGACGACGATCGAGAAAAATGGCGTTTTCTAGAGAGAGAAAAAAAAAATAGGTTTTTGCCTCGGGGTGTGTGCCAGCGGATGATTGGTATATATAGTGAAGAAGAAAATGGGGGAGTTTTTTTTATTTTTTATTTTTTTTATTTTTTTTATTTTTATGGAATTGATGCTTCGATTTTTCGATGAGATTTTTATGGGAAGAAAGGGCAGCTCTTGTGTGCTTGTGGGAGGCACATGGAGTTTTGAGAATTTTTTTATTTTTTTATTTTTTTATTCAATAAAGGGTGTTTGTGGGCAAATTAAACACGGCCCATTGGAGAAATGGTCAATGCTTTTGAGTTTTGAAAGTGATTGTAATTTTTTTTTTTTTTAATAGTCAAAATGTTTAAAATTCCCCTAAATCAATTTTGGGCAAAATCGTGGTTATTCAGCGACCCATTACGATAGCGGATAACGGAACCTGAATTTAGTGTCGACAAGGAACCGACCCTCATTTTTTAGTCCAAACAATAAGAAATGTAAGTCGTAGTAACTCAGCAGCTCGTTACGATAACGGACATGGATCTGGTGTGCACAAGGAACTAAATTCTCATTGAAGTTGAAATTTCAAAATTACAATTGTCAATACTCAATCATGTAACCCCACATCAATTTACCACGCACCAGTTGAGTTATACCCATGCAGACACAATCTCGAAATTTTCAATTACAACTATCAATACTCGATTACGTAACCCTACATCAATTTACCATGTCTGAAACCAGTTGAGCTATACCCATACGGACACAATCTCGAAATTTTCAATTACAACTGCTAATACTCGATTATGTAACCTTACATCAATTTACCACGTCCGAAACCAGTTGAGCTATACAAATGCGGGCACAATCTCGAAAATTTCAATAATTATGCGAGGAATATGTTCGTGCGAGGCGTCATAGTGGGCAAGGACAATAAAATAAAATTATTACAAAGCACTGGTTGCATTTGCATGTCTATTTCTATTTTGTACTATTCGCTAATAAATAATTGCTAGACAGCCTCATAATTGACTTATTAAAAAATACTATCGTTTGCCTTTCACGATAGCTTTATCTTGTTTCTTTATTTATTCAATTATTAGAAAAAGAAACTAGCTTCTAAAGCATGAGTATTAAATTGAAATAAATTATGCATTTTCTTATATTTGGTTTCCTAAGACAAAATTGTCATTGGTTGTCTTATGGTATAATTAGGGATGACAAAAAAGGTCGATCCGCTAGTTATTCATGGATCAGATTCTTTTAAAAAAATTCAATACAAAACCTATTACGTGGAGAAGGTCCCTTTAAGTAAGATCTATTTACAAAAAAGAATTTCAACTTTCTATAATTACATTCATCCCCTTCAATTTGTATATTTCTTACATTAATACCCTTCTGTAGGGGGTGGATGTAAGAATTACAAACTGCATGAAGTTGGATTAAAATTTTCAAAAAGAAAGATTTTTTTTTGTAGGTACACTTTACTTTAGGGAGATGGTTGTAATTTATCATAATATGAAATACTTAACATTTATTGTAAAAGAAAACTAACATGCTAGATGATGTAATATCAAAGTCAAATTAAAGAAAAAAAAAATTCGGGTAAGCATTTTTAATATTAATCGAATATGTTCATAATGCTACATCAGTCGGACCACTCAAATATTTTAAAACATGGTACCCTCGTCATGGTTGAAGAGGTTTAGACAACTTTTTAATCATAATAATACAGGAGTGAGTAATAATAATAATAAGACAACTATGATTAAACTAACTATAAGCTTGATTAGATAGATTCATTCTATATATAAATTTTAGATTTTTTTATTCTTAATTTTAATTAATTTTTAGGTAAATTACGGCCACATCTAAGATAAAGTTAAATTATATTTGAATAATTACAACCACCACCCTCAATTATGAATCTTTTTATACGTCCATCCTTGCTGCGAGGTCAAATTTAATAAAATCCCCTAAATTATATGAAATATTCTCCAGTTTGAACCTATTTTTTTACCCTATTCGAGCTCCACATTTTGAAACAAGATGATCATAAGATATATCTCTTAGCTTATAAATTTCAGATTGTGGTGCATTAGAAACTGTATTTTTGCACAAAACGTGTACAAACTAAAGAACATTCCACGTAATCTACAAGATGATATTAAATTTAACACCATAAGGATAAACGTGTAAAAATATTTATAGTTGAGGGTGATGGTTGTAATTACTCTAACATGAGAGATTTTTTTTTTTCGTTATTTGACTTTACCACAAGGATGGCCGTAATTTACCTCAATTTTTAAAAGCTAAGATTATTTCTATTCTCTCATCAAATCAAATCATTCAATCCAAGGGCAACACTAATCAAAATATTTCTCACTTCTCTCTTCTCTCTTTTATTTGATCTTTTAACACTTCCATAATCTAAGTCCACAATTTCAATCTTCACAAACACCAGCAAGAAACGGAAACCAGCTCACACGTAGAATTATCGAATCACACAAAATGGCTATTTCCAGAGCAAGAAACGAATAAAAAACAAGAAGCGTATTAAAAAAGCTCACACGGACAAGAAACGGGTCATCCACGAACGAAAACGGGTCCATGCCAGCTCAACCGCATCAGCATCTTCATCATTCATTCCCATATTCTTTCTTCTCTCAACTCCTTCTGGAGAGCTGTTCATAAACGCATGCGCAACTCCCGGATAAATGTACACCTCATTTGGAACTCCCGATTCCTTCAGCTTCTCCTCCAATGCTTTCCCAGTCTGTACCCAAATTTCACGAGGTTGCATAAAAAAAGAACATAGAAAATAGAGAATAAAAGTAGACTGACGGAAGTATTTTAATTACAGATAATAGCACACGCCTCCCTGTGTTGTTTCTAATTGCTGAAAAACCCGGTGCGTTAAAAAAATTAGCAAGAAGCTCACTATGTTGTGTTTTTTAAAGCACACCGGTACTTATTTCGAAATTTATTGTTGACCTATATGAAATGACCAAATTACCCTTACAAAAGAAATATTAAAAACAGAACAAAAAAGGAAACAAAAAGAATTTCAGAGGGTATTTTTGACTTTTCAAGTCAAAAAACACATTTCTACTCTCACAATTTGCACGTGCATCACAGGATAAGTTGTTTGGGGTTTTTTTTGGCTTTGACTATTTTTCACAGGGGTGTTCTTGCTATTTTTTTAACACGGGTTTTTTTAACAATTAGAGATTACACAGGGGTAGTTTTTGCAAAAATCCCATTTTAATTAATATCTTGATTATATGATATATACATACCTTTGCATCTGAAAATCCGACGAAATTATCGAGTTCACCGAAGTGAGCCTGCACTGGTGCCTTAGCATTTACAGGGTCGGCAAGTTCGGATGAAGGAACTCCATAGAAAGCAACGACAGCATCAATGGTTGGGACTAGAACCGAGCTTGCAATAGCAAGAGCACCACCCATGCAGTATCCAGTTACACCAACCTATTATTGTAGCAAATATTTTAAGTATGTATTAGTTGGAATTTTAATTAATTCACACGACCAATTTCATATACAACAAATCAATATCGAGAAAAAAAAAATTTGGTTTCGATGTAGATTCTTCTGAGCCACTGACATCCGAAAGTATCGAGATGGCAAAATATACTCCTCTTTTGTTTCCATTGTAATTCTTGGATCGTGCCATGTCAGCATCGAACTTTCCAAATACAATCTTACATTTCTCAACAAAGAATAATTTAACCTCCCATTTTCTCACACTCCCGATATAACTTACTTAGCAATCGACTAAGAGCTTGTTAGTAGCATACCTTTTGAGAACCGTTTGCCTTAAGCCAGTTGACCGAGGCTTCGATATCCTTCACAGCACCTTGCCAATCAAGACCATCCATCAAATGCTGTGCTTCTGCAACATCCAATCCGACCTTTCCTCTGTACAAACTAATTCGCAAGAAAACGTAAAAAATCGGATAAGAAATAGACACCAATTCTCGTATAATACAATTTTATGCCAAGAAAAAAGGTACACGCATCAGCAGAAAATAACACCGTCGCATTTAACATTTCTAATAGAGATTTCTTACTCTGGAATCAATGCTTTGTAACCGGAATCGAACTGAGAGATCTTCTGAGCATGATTCTTGATCTCAAAATCGACACCCCACCATTCTTGAAGCACAACAATCCCGGGAGCATCGTCTTTCCCGATCACGTAGGCATCAAATGTCTGCTTGATCGATTTATCACACAAAATATTTTTTTTTAGAAAAAAGAAAAAAGTAATTGGTTATGCAAGTGCTTGAAAAATTAATTTCATATAAAAAGAAAGTTTAATTCTTTAATAACCATTTCAGTTTACAGGCTAACAGTACTTGGTGTCTAGCAAAAATCCTATCTTTTGTCATTCAAAATTAGGGTAAATTACGTCCACCCCTCAGATATCTGAGATAAGGTCAAATTACAAAAAAAAAAACCCTCCAACTTGGGTAATAACAACCACCCCTCAACTATGAAGTTTCTTATACGTCCACCCATGCAGTGTCAAATTTAGTGGAATTTTTGAAATATTCTTCAGTTTGTATCCGTTTTACCCAATTCGAGCTCCACATTTGGAAACAAGATCATCATAAGATATGTTTTTCGGCTTGTATACATCAGATTGTGGTGCATAAAAAACTGTATTTTTGCACAAAAACGAGTACAGACTAGGGAACATTCCACAAAATCTAGAAGATTATATTGAATTTGACACCATAAAGGTGGACCGTGGACGTGTAAGAAGATTCATAATTGATGGGTTGGTTGTAAGAATTTTTTCGTAATTTGCCCTTACCTCAGGGGGCCGTATTTACCCAAACAATGAATAGTAAAAAGTAAAAACACAAATCAATTGACGATATACTAATTGTTCCATCTTTATCAAGCAATCAATTAATCCCAGATTTCCCCCAACCCTAATCAGACCAATTGTGAATATAGCAAAGGCCCTAAAAGCAAAAAAGTAAATAATGTTCATTTCAACCTAAACGAGAATCAGTGATGGTTACCGTGTTGTCTCTCTGAATCTGGACTTTCTTGAATGGTGCAGAAGAATCAGAGTCAGTGGCCATTGCACGAACCTGATGGCGAGAACCGGAGGGAGAGAATTGAGTTCTGGCGAGGTAGAATGTGATGGAAGAAGTGGACTTTGGTTTAGTGACGAGGGTTTTTGTGAAGCATCTAGAACCATAACACGTCATCATAGCTTAAAACCACTTGCTCTAATGGGCTCTCTTTTTATTTTCTTCTCTAGTTTGTATTTTAGATGGTTTACTTTGCAAAATGCAACGAAATTTTTGAATTATGTCAATTTTTATTAAAAGAAATTCGATGTTCGAAAAATATGTTAATTCTCAACTTCAAAAAAGGAATTGATTTCTGAATTTTTCAGATCGAAACTCGAATACCATACATAGATTTGTTTGACGCTACACCTGGTGATAAACACCGGGTGGGTCTTCTGCTGTCACGTGTCTCTTTTTTCTATTTTATAATATATTCCCCGCTAGGGTTTACCTTTAGGGGTTTTAGAAAAATAAAAAAAGGGACACGTGGCAGCAAAAGACCCACCCAGTGTTTTTCGCCGGGTGTAGGATCGAGGGAGCCTACATTATGGGATTATGATTTTTGATCCGATATTTTTTCCAAGTTAATTTTAAATTTTTCAATGTTTTCTTTATCAAATTACAAATACGATATCAATATTGGGCAAAATTACGGTCACCCCTGAGTTAAGGTTAAATTACGAAAGCCCCCTTCTGTTTGGCTAATTACAATCACACCTCTCAACTATGTATTATCTTATGAAAATACCCCTCTAGGGATGTTAAACTAGGGATGACAATTTGACCCGCCCCAACCCGCCCCGGATTTTTCGGGTATTACCCGCTCCGAAAAAAAGGGGGCGGGTATGGGGATTGATTTTTGTTTTTACCGGGTACGGGTACGGGTACGGGTACGGGGACAGGTTTGCCTATACCCCTAGACCCGCCCCGTACTCACCCCACATTATTTATATATATAATATATTTATTAATTATTATATTAAATATAAATAATTAAATAGTAGTAATATATTAAATATTAGTTACAAATGGGGATTTTTAGGTTTCGATTATATAATTAAATATTAGTATTATAATTAAATATTGGTTTATTTGTTGAAATAAACCTTCAAATTATAAGTAGATTGCATATTTATTTATTAAAAAAAAAGGAAAAAAAATAGACGGGCATATTTACCCGCCCCGATACCCGTGGGGATTTAATGGGGCGGGTACGGGTTTATTTTTATAAAGTTCGGGGATTTTGACGGGGGATGGGATGGGGATTTCCATAGCGGGGCGGGGATGGGGATTGCAAAACCCGCCCCATGCCCGCCCCATTGCCATCCATATGTTAAACCGGTGAAACTGAAAGCGGAATTTCGGTACGCCAACATTTCACAATTTACCAAACTGTATATACGTTTTGGGTCGGTAAATAACCGAATTACATAAATATTTATGTAAAAATATTTAAAAGGAGGGGGTGGCTGTAATTACTCAAACAAGAGGGTTTTTTTTTTTTTTTTTTTTTTTGCAATTTAGCCATACCTCAAGGGGGTGGCCGTAATTTGCCCTATCAGTATTATTATAGGGAAAATTGCACATCACCCCTTGTAAAATTCTAAAAAGGCAAAGTGCAATCAACATACTATCTCGAATGGGGAATATCCATTTTTTTAATTTTTAGAAGGAAAAGTGCGAAGAACAGAAATTATAGGGGCAAAGTGCATTTTGTCCATTATTATATGTCAAGCAAATTGCACTTCGCCCTCTCAAAAAATATCATTTTTGCACTTTTCACCCTAAAAATAAGAAAATGAGACTGCCCCCTTAGAATTATATAACTCGGTGCATTTGCCCAAATGTGTATTTCCGAGCCAATTCTCCCAAATTTCAGTAAATGGGAAGGCTAATTTCGTCTTTTAGGGCTATAAATGTCATTTGACCATTTTCCACTACATAGTACTGTTAGATGGTCTCTTTTCTCTCCCAAATCGAATACCCAAAAAAACCTATAGAAAATTTCACCCAAAATCAAATGAATCGGCGGGCAACAACTAGGTACTCTCTATCGATCGTTCAAACGAATCCTCAAAGGATTTTCTTCATCATTTTATCCATTTTTTTTGTCTTTTGTTATGAATATTGTGTTTTTTGTTCCGAATATTGCGGGAACTGGAGTCGCGAACAATTGGGGGTAGCTCCATCGATCTTTTGACTTTTCGTGCTTAATTGCGTTGTGCAAATACTAGTTATGGAGAACAAAAAACAATTGTCGTCGAATTTTGAAGAGATTTCATCAAATTTATAAGAAGATAATTTCATAAATTTGGGAAGTGCATACTGTGGCTTTGGAAACCATAAGTGAGTCAGCAGTGAAAGCGGGATTTTAAAGTGGGAGAATTAAAATGACATGTACACCCTTAATCCAGCGACAATTAGCCCGGAAATACACATTTGGGGCAAACTGCACCGAGTTATACATTTCTAAGGGGGACAATCTCATTTTTCTTTTTTTAGGGGGAAAGTGCAAAAATGACATTTTTGAGGGGCAAAGTGCAATTTGCCCTTATATATATTTTATAAAGATGCGAATGAAAATTTGAATTTCCTATTTCGAATCCAAAGGAATCAGATTTTAGAACAAAGTTTGCGTTCCAATTTCCCAAAATTTATTTATAATATCAAAAGTGTTATGTATTTTTAAGTTTTAGCTCTTTTGGAATGAAGTCTTTCATTCCAGTTAATTCTTGAAATTTCGATTCTTATGAAATTTTTTGAACCGAAATTGAAACTAGTTTTTCACTTTAAAAAGCAAATGATGTTTTTTTGGTTTTCCCAAAAATGTTATTTTGTTTGGCTCGACTTCCACAACTAATATCAACGCATTTTCTCGATATTATTTAACTTTTCTTTTTGACACTGATATTGCTTATATGCTCTGATAAGCTTAGCCAAACACCCTCCCAAACAACAAAGAAATATTACATGTACCCCACTACAAATTACATAACACAACATGAAAAGGTTGAACTCGAACTCATAAATAAACATACATACATAAAAGTGAAGTTTGAAGGGGAACCCAAGAATACATATAGTTATATTGTAACTTCTCAACTCTTCAAATGCAGGGACTTCTCCCAACATTAATTGGACACCACTTTCTCATTTATTTTTCATATAATAAATGTTGCACCCAATATTCCTTGCCTTGAGTTGCTTCATCGCCAATAATCATGGAAAAAATACTGCAAAAAAAAAAAAAAAAAAAAAAAAACTATTAACTCGTTTGGATTGAAGGATTTTGATTTATGAGATAATCGGAGAAAGTAATTTCAAATGATTCGATATAAAATAAAATTTAAATCCGAATACCACAATAAAAATTATTTGAAGTTGAAAATGAAGGATCTAAAATTCATCATAAAATGAGTTACTCATTGATTTAATTTTTTTAGTATATTGATTCGATAATCAAATTTCAAATCCTTTAATTCAAATGCAAACCTTAAAAGAGTTCGAGTGTCCGGCCGGCCAGGTCGAATTCTCGAACAAAAATAAGCAGTCTCGAACAATAACAATAATAAAATTTAAATTCCACGAACAAAACCAATGTTTTTGAAAATCGGATCAGACCGGCCGGTTCGACCGGTTAAACTGCAAACCGGACCGGACACACAAACCCGGAAAAGCAAAACAAGATTTAACAAATGAGAGATACACAAGAGAATCAACACACTCTTAATTGGTACTATTCATGCAAATGAACCCTAAATTTCTAAAATAAAGAAAAGTACAATTAAAAAAGCATAACGTACCTAAGAAAAATGAACATTAAAACTACATCTATATGAGTATATTACCTTTCAGATAAAATGAACCTTTCTCTTTCTTCACATCAGAAATTTAGGTGCCATTTTTTTTTGAAATATTAGCAGTTCATTAAAGATATCTATCTGCATTGGGTTCAATGAACCTGGTCATTGTTTTGATGCATGCATGTACTTGTCTGTGTTTTAACATGTAGAGAGAGAATTAGGTGTTGAGTTTATATTTGATGACTCACTAAGATTGTCACTTTCTGCCTTTAATTATGAAAAAGTATTAAGCATCTCAGCTGTATTATTGGAAAGGTGTTGGCATGTTTGTTTGTTTTTATTATGATGGCATCATTTTTAATCTAATATAATAAGTTTTGTATTTTGTTTATTTTTTATCAAAATCTATGTAGCACGGACACGGGAACGGGGACACGGCGAAATGGGAAAATGAACATGAGGAAACTTCGTTTTTCGAAAAGTTGGATACAAGAACATGGGGAAATGTATAAAATAATAATAATTATAGGGGTACATTTATAATTTCTAAAAAGTTTATAGCGTTTAACTTGTATACTAATCGTCAATTACATATTTGTAATTGTATCTATAAATTATATATGATTTACAAGTTCCATTTCAAATTATAATTCCACAAATTACATTATGGGCATATAAATTTATTTTAGTATGAAATTAGCATTATTAAAAAATAGTAAAACACCACTAGAGGTGAAAAAGAGTCATAAATTTAAGATCTTTTTAAGCGCATGCCATTCCGAGTTTTATTTAAAATGGAATTTAGATTCTTTTGGGTGGAAACGTGTTTCCATTTTTTCTTTACTACAAGAAACGTCCTCGAAACTTTAAATATTTACGAAAACGACCCGAAACATTTTCGACAGGTATTTGGAGTTTCGATTTCCGAAACATGGAAATGTGCGTGGGTAGAAGTTTCCATGCATCATAATCAAATATTGTTATAGTTAGAAAAGTAGGGGATAACCATGATTCGAACTCTACACCGTGATACTACAACCAATATTATAAAATAATGTGTAAATCATGCATGCCCTCTCAGGTAACTTACAAATCTCTTTGGTATTGGAAGAAATGAATTGTCTAAATTACTTTTGGGTAAATAACATTAAACCACCTGAATTTTTTAAGTTTTTGCGGATCACCTCCTGAACAATTTTTTTTTGCATGAGTTCACCTGTACTCAATTAATTGTGCCACTTTGCCCTTTTTTGCCCGTTTCCAGGTCAAAATGACCGGTTCTGAAGCCATGTGCGCTGCACATGCGAAATCCAAGGTTATTTTTGTCTTTGCCATTTAAAAATCCCTAACTCCTTTAATTTTTTCTCCATTTCTCTCTTATCTCCATTATTTTCCCTCTTCAATTAGCTAGAAATGAATTCCCTCATTCACAAAATATTTGCATTTTCGAGCATTTCAAATTACGTTTTCCGAAAAAAGAACACCTGTAAATCTCCTCATTTGGCTGGGTTGTAATGCATGAGACAAACCTTGTCTCTCCATCTGAGATTTAGTGTTGGCTTATTGCACAATATCTTCTGACAGGTGGGCAAACATAGTAACATGGACATGTAAAAATAAAAAAATAAAAATAAAAATAAAAATTTATAAAGATGTGATAAATCATAAGTCCTCTTGTTCATGATCTTAATTTTTTTTTTTTTTGCAGTCGTATCCTGAGATGGTTGATTTTTTACGGTCCAGACTATTCAAATGGTCGGGCGATGCACGAACATTTGACAAAGACGGGCCCTACATAGAGATGGTGACCACTTCGAATAACTCGGACGGTTTTATCAGAGAGCCCGTTGTTAATCGGGCCAAAGGAATGCCCGTCCATGATCTTGCTTACTATTGGCCACAATATACATCAATTACTTCTTCTGAAGATCATGACATCATGCTTTTCACGGTTTCCAAATGCACTGGCCATGCAGGATCAAGAATCGGGTATTGTTCGAGAAAAAAATAAATTCTTCCTTATCAATCTCTTGCAATATTATATAATTTGATCTTTACAGAATAAACGTTGTTATTTTCTTTATGTGAAGATGGGCGATTGTTAAGGATGAAGCAGTCGCTAGAAAAATGGTGAAGTTCATCAAAGTCAGCACAATCGGAGTGTCGAAAGAGCCGCAAAACAGAGCAGCCACCATTCTTGAAATCATTTCCCTTAGTTGATGCAAAAGCGATGATAACAAACTCGAGAATTTCTTCGAATACAACTATAATCTAATGGCCGAAACGTGGAAGATTTATAGGTGTTATTTTTTCCGACAACGTAATTTGAAATGCTCGAAAATGCAAATATTTTGGGAATGAGGGAATTCATTTTTAGCTAATTGAAGAGTGAAAATAATGGAGATATGAGAGAAATGGAGAAAAAAATAAAGGAATTAGGGATTTTTAAATGGAAAAGACAAAAATAGCCTTGGATTTCGCATGTGCAGCGCACATGGGTTCAGAACCGGTCATTTTGACCTGGAAACGGGCAAAAAAGGGCAAAGTGGCACAATTAATTGAGTACAGGTGAACTCGTGCAAAAAAAAATTGTTCAGGAGGTGATCCGCAAAAACTTAAAAAGTTCAGGTGGTTTAATGCTATTTACCCATTACTTTTTGATAATGCTAGAGCTAGATCACCTTAGAGAGTTGAAGTAAGATAAGCTGGAAGAGCAAAGTGGATCACTGACTCACGAGCTTGATGACCTTGAGATACCTGTAATCATAGAACACGTAAACTAAGCCGGGAGTTGATCCGGCATAAACTCCTCCGACGCTCAAATCAGGCGTGCGGATAATAGAAATAGTCCGGATAATACATGTCATAGCATTGATCATATAATAGGACGTACTTTAAAGAATGAGTTCAAACATTTATTTATACCTTAGTTGAGATTGTCTGACCCAAACCTTACTTGAAGGTGATTGGACATCGATGGTAGTGGTCTTCAATATTGGGTTCGTGGCCCATTAGGTAAATAAGTTGTAGGCCCATTGGGTTGGCCCAATTAGACATATCAATTTTATATTAAACAAATAAACTTTGGGTAAATCACGGGTATCCCTGAGGTAAGACAAAATGTTACATTTACCCCATGTGGGTATATTATATTTACCCCTGGAGTAGATCTGGAAATTCACATCGAATATTCCATAGAATCTTCAAGATTCCGTTAGTCATTGTTTCATGAATATCCCTTGGAAATACATCTGCTTTAAGAATAGTTTGAAACTTATTATGTATAATAGTATACTGCAGTTTGCGTGTTACGTAAATATTACTAGTATTATGCAACAATGACTTAATTATCGTAACTATGACTGGTAATCGGAACGGAATTTTCAAATTCCGAATATTTTTGAATTTAGAACAATTTTAGATTAATCATGTCTGCATAGATGTACAATGCATTTTGCAATAAAATACATAATTGAAGGATGTATTTGCCAATTCGAAAATTTTAAGGTGCAAATCGCCTATTTTTATGGGGTGCCAAATGCACTAATTCGATGCCACCCACTAAACACGCAAATAAACAAGTGTATGTGTTATTATGTGGAGATCTATAATTTAAAATCATTCGATGTATTTCATTAACATTTACGAATCCTCTGATACAATATTTTAAATTCTTTATGATGAAATTGATCAAACCTAAAACATAAAAATAGGACATCATTTTAAAATTTAGTTTAAATGAATATATTTAAAGTGCCAAAATAAAAAAAAGTAAAATTTTTAATAGTGTTAGTTTCACTTGGACCTCCTCCTAAATACTGAAATTGCAGACTCACTCCCTGCTTACAATCACTAACGGAGTGTGCAAAAAGTCAATTTTACCTTCATTTTTCAAAAAAAAAATAATTAAAAAAAGCAAAAAAAAAAAAAAAAAAAGAAAGATATTTCAGGCTTAGAGGAAATGTGAAAGGGGTAAGATTGGAAATCCACTTGATTTTTTTGATGATGTCATCACTTTCCGTCCAAATTTTAGATGGAGGGACCAACAGAGAAAGCGGAGACATCTAACAGAGGAGGTATGGACAACTTTTTTACTAGGAGGGGGTGAGTCTACAATGTCACTATCTAGGAGGGGGCCCAAGTAAAATTAACCTAATCAAAATTATAATTAGTATTTTTAAAGGGCAAATTACAGCCACCACATGAGGTATCGTTAAATTATGAAAATCTCCCTCATGTTTGGGTAATTACAACCACCCCTCAACTATAAATCTTTTTACACGTTCACCCTTGCGATTTTAAATTTAGTGGAATCTTCTAGATTTAATGGAATACTATTACTTTTGTACCCGTTTTATCCCATTGGAGCTCCACAATTTGAAGTAAAATGATCATAAGATGTGTTTTTTTGGCTTGTATATATCAGATTTTGGTGCATCAAAAACTACATTTTAACACAAAACGAGTACAAACTATGGCATAATCCACGAAATCTAGATGATTATGTTAAATTTGACACCATAATGGTGGAAGTTTAAGAAGATTCATAATTGAGGAGAATAACTGTAATTATCTAAACAAGAAGGGTATTTTTCATAATTTGACCATACCTCAGGGGTTATTGTAATTTACCCTTTTTTAAACTAGCCCCCAACACAAAAATCCCTAAATGCATATACTCTCAACTTCTCGCCCCCTTCCTAAATTATTCATTTGCGCCGGCAAACCCTTTTTCCTTCCGTCCGCTCCCCCTCGCCGCCGGCTCCCTTCCCTCCCAAATTTAAACGCTCTAAAATTCAATTACTATTATTATTATTATAATATATTACTTATTGAAATCAAACAGTCTTTCTTCAATTTTCGAGCACAGCAAATCCAACACAATGTCCGATGCCGACGAAGCAGAAACGTCTGGTGCCGACGAAGAAGTTCAATTCACTTTGAAAGCTGTAATAAACAGACACAAAACAAAAGTACTATTTGCAGAAATTGACAGCCAATTCGCCGACGCTTTGCTAAGCTTTCTAACGATGCCACTGGGAAAAATGGTGAAGCTCCTGAACGATCATTACAGAGATGAAGCGCCGCCGATTGGAAGCCTAACAAGTTTGTACAGCGGCTTATCAAATCTCGACAGCCGCCATTTCTGGACCGAGGGTTGTAAGATTATGCTTCTCAATCCAAGAAGCTCCTTGGAATATAAATGTAGCAGATTAAAACTCGATATTAACGATACTCGTCTCGAAAAGTACTTTTGTTGCGAAGACCCGCGTTGTAGTCGTCCTAGGTACTCGAATATAAGCATGCACCGCGACGTTGGTGTTTGCGCTTGTGGTAGAAGCCTTAACCGAGAAATCGGTGTACGGAATTCGTGTGAGCTAGCCGATGGTGATAGAGACGACGGAGTTTTTGTCGTAGCGAACGAGTCTTTTTTAATCTCCGACGATCTTCGGCTTGTCCCTAACGTGGCTGGATCGGTAATGGGTACTCTGAAGAATCTCGGGATTACGGATATGGATGGAGCCGAGTTAAGGAATGTGGTTTTCGGATTCGACGAGGTTATCGATTTGCTGAAGGGGTCGTTACTATCCCGAACGCCGCTCTCGGATATGATCATACTCAATCGAAGAAAATTTTACATCGCCAGACCGAAACCCGAACGAGGAATTCATGAGAGGGAGTTCGAAGGAAGTTCTAGCATTAAGAAGACGATTTTGAAAGTGACGGTACAAAAATCAACCAACAAGTTATTGTTTGCCCAATCGAACAACGACTTCGTTGATTTCCTTTGTAGCTTGCTCACTTTCCCTCTCGGAGGAGTCGAGTACCACTTGTGCAACAACACCCCTTTTAAGGGTATCGACAATTTATACACGAGCTTAGCTGATTTTATCGGTGACGAGTATTTGGCGAATGCAGATATAAGAAAGAGTCTAATGAAACCGAGCCTACCTCATGGTTACATGTCCGAAAACAAGATTCTTCCTCTCGTTGGAAATACGGATCCTCGATTATTTTACCACAAAGGCTTGGGCATGGATGAAGAATGGTTGTCTTATTCCTCTCGCGATTCTAAATGTGCTCGTGCCATCAAATACCGGAACAACGGGGGGTATTATATTAATGGACGGAAAATGTATATGGTGAGTGACGACTTAACTGTGACTCCTTTGTGTATGATTTCAATCTTTTCGATTCTGAAGGATATGAAGATTACTTTATCTGATGTGAAAGAAGTTGAGGTGCCTATTGGAGTAGACGAGGTAAATAAAATCGATTTTAACTCGTGTTTTATTTTTTGTTGTTTATGTTGTTTGCTTGTTGAGATTCGTTTTTACGGTATGCAGGGTTTAAGCATCTTGAAGGCATCTCTTACATCGACTACTGCTCTAACCGATGGTCTCATGCTTAATCCAGTGTTGAACAAAAAACCTAAGCAAGAACCCCGGGGATACTTTATGCATTACTGAACATTAGAATGGCACAATAGCGAATTAGCTTATTCGATTTTTTTTTTTCATGGCTGAATCACCGCAGCAAAACGATTAGACAAGTCGAAAAGATGTTATAGTCTGCTCCTCTGTATCAAGAACGAACTTGTGGTGTATTGAAAATGTAAGATTGAAGTGCAGTTTGAGTGTTCTTTGGAGAATTGGGCATTAATTTATTTGGTAAAATCAATGTTTGCATGAGAAATTAAATCTGAATAGAAAATGCTTCTCTTAGGGAGGAGTTGTGTGATTTTAAAATGCTCTGTTACATTCAATATATTAGAACTTGCAAGGTGATTCACAGTGATGTTTTTAAGTGATTTTATTATCTGATTTTCATGATCAAAAAATCGGAAATTACACTTTGTTAAGTATTGAGCCCAATAGAAATGATCTGTTGTGATCTGGGCCAATAGCTAAACTAATTCTAAGCCCAATTCGTGAAATCGGGCCCAATATCACATAAGTCCACTGATCCAGTCAACTTAAGATCTGAACCGTTTATTCTAGGGCTTCAAGCTGAGCCCTCCATTTCCCCATTCCTCTTACCCCTCTTAACCCTAGCAGCATTCTTCTGCTGCGCCGTTTCTCTCTCTTCCCTTGTCCCCTTCTCTCTCTACAGTGTTTCGTCACCCCTTGTCGTTTTCCGGCGACCCGTCGCAGGTCTGGCCGGACAATGGGTGTCCTTGCCGTCGCAGCTCATTTAATGCTGGAGATCGTTGAAACTCTGTGTATTTATACTGTGGTGAGAGAGAGAGACAAGGGTGATTCACCTTTTATTCAAACCTTTTCATTTCTGGTCTTAATCCTCTTCTGTGAGGGTTTCGGCTTTGTGAGTGCAGAAATCTGGGTTTGTGCTGAGTGGAGAGGGTGAGTTATCGCCGAGTTGACTGTGCATGTGTTGGTGAGTCAACTCGGAGTGAGGTTTTGGGGTCATATCTAGGGTTCCGATCAGTGGCAGTAGCTTGGTGCTTGTTTTCGGTTGGTGTTACCACCAGACATAGGATCGACAGTATGAACACTGGAAAAGGGAACTGAGCCGTTCTTATTCAATATTCTTTTATTGTTTTCATTTCCTTTTGTTTTCTAACTGTGTTACAGATCTATGGCTGTTTTTCGAAGAACCTGTACCTAACAGTGGTACCAGAGCGTCAGTTGGGCACTTGTTCTTTGCAGACTCGTGCTACAGATTTCACTACTGTGACTCACTCACTCTGTTTCTGGGTAAAATCCTGAAAAACCTGTGGTTGACCTTGTGTGGTCAAAGCTTACTTCCGTTGTTCTCTAAATCTGGGCCAACTCAGGCTATTCGCCACTCCAAACTTCCCTTGTCCGGACCGCTTAGTGTCGCAGGAATCTGGGGAAGGGGGGGTAGTCTGAGACAGCCCAGCCTTCAACCGGTTACTTTGGTGCCTTCTGGGCCAACTCAGGCTATTTGCCACACCAAACTTCCCTTGTCCGGACCGCTTAGTGTCGCAGGAATCTGGGGAAGGGGGGTAGTCTGAGATAGCCCAGCCTTCGTCCGGTTACTTAGTTGCCTTCTGCAACACTTGGCTCTCTGTTGGGCCTCCTGGGATCATCTTGTGAGTTTGTGTTTTACTTCCTGTTGCTGTCTGTGTGCAGCTTATGTGTTTCATTTTCTGTTGCTGTCTGTGTGCAGCTTGTGTGCTTCATTTTCTGTTGCTGTCTGTGTGCAGCCCATGATAGTTAATCTCGCGATATACCGCGATATATATCGCGATACGGTACGGTTCCAATCAAAACGATACAACTCGGGTTCTGTATCGCTTATTGATAAATACCGTCAAATATCGCGAGATATCGTACCGTATCGCCGTATCACGATACGATACGATATTTACGATATTAGTCGACAATTAAAAAAAAAAGAAAAAAAGAAAAAAAAGGAAGAAATGCAATCAACTGCTCTGAAAAAACGGTTTTGAATAAAATTTTTCAATATCCCAATCCTATTTCACACTTTTCTCTTCAAATTTTTTCACCAATCTTCATAAGTTCGCAACCCTAATTCAATATATATATATGGATAGTTAAGGCCTTTTTAAGGCCTTTTTACTGAGTTTTGCGATTGATGATGATGAATCGTTTAAAATTGGTAGATGAGGATGACTTAAGTGACATTGATCTTCAAAATTATGAGAGATCGAATATTTTAGAAATTAGTTATTTGAATTTGTACTTGGGCCCATTTGGCTAAGCTTATTTTGAACAACTGATAAGATGTTTTAAGAGTTGATAAATTGTTACATCTTACTTTTAAAAATATTTTTTTCAAGTGTTTGGATAGTGATTTTACAAATTATTTTTACTCATTATAAGATTTTAAATAAATAGGCGGGGTAAATATACTTTAAAAAAAATTATTTGCTCTCCTCCAGCAGCTTATAATATTTTGAATTTTTAAGATCTTTAAAAAAAATTACCTAATACACTAGAATCGCTTATAAGCTCTTAAACATCTTATAAGTTATTGTTAACATCTTATAAGCCTAGCCAAACACCCTCTTAGATGATGTTATTTGATAAATAATTATGATTTTTGTCATATTTTATAATATGATGTTGAAACTTGAGTTTATATTTATTTCGAAATAAATAGTTCTATTAAATTTTACATGTTTATAATATTTTTATAATATAGATATATATTTTTTACTATTTTAATAGTTGGTTAAATATCTTACGATACGATACGATAACGATACGGTACGAGATGTGGAGCAAAACGATACGAGATATTTTTACGATCCGATAACCATGGTGCAGCCTGTGTGTTTCCATCTTTTCTGTTGCTGTCTGTGTGCAGCTTGTGTGCTAGTGTGCCTCTTACCTGTGTCTGAGCCCTTGTTTTTTCCTTTTCTGTGTGAAAAATGAATTCTTATCCTGTGGCTTCTTTTGATGGTAATGGTGATTTTGCTATATGGAAACAGAAAATGAAAGGGGTTTTAGTGCAACAGAAATGTTTTAAGGCCATAACTCAAACTTATGATGATAAAACCACTAAAGAAATGAAAGATGATTTTGATGAACTTGCTTATTCCCTGATTATTCTGAACTTATCTGACTCTGTGATTAGAAAGATAGGTAAACTTGATACTGCTAAGGAATTATGGGATAAGTTAGAAGAGCTTTATACTGAAACCTCTTTACCCTAAAAAATGTTTTTACTGGAAAAATTTTTTAGATTTAAACTTGACTTGCACAAAGATATAGATGAAAATCTTGATGTTTTTACAAAACTTGTGCAAGACATAAAGTTATGGATAAAAATATTGATGAATAAACCCCCATTGTTCTTCTAAATGCTATTCCAGATTCTTACAGTGATGTCAAATCTGCAATTAAGTATGGCAGAGACAAAGTGACTCTGGACACTGTGATAAATGGTTTGAAAAGTAAGGAACTTGATTTGAAAACTACCAAAAGCAACAAATCTTTGGGTGATGTAAACTTTGTGAAAAACAAGTCTAAAAACAAGTTTTCAAACAAGGCTTCTTCCTCCAGTAACCAAAATTTTCAAAAACCTGATAAGGGTAAAGTAGGGAGTAAAAATAAGCTCAAACATAGGAAGTGTTACAACTGTGGTAAGTCTGGTCATTATACTAATAGGTGTGCTGAACCTAAGAAAGATAATAAGTCTAATAATGAACAGGCTAACCAAGTTGCTGAAAACATGGGTGATGTGTTTATGATTACAGATGAGTATCTTGATTTTGTGAATTCTGTGTCTGCATCTTTGACTGATAATGACTGGTTAATGGATTATGCTTGCTCAAATCATATGACACCTCAGAGAAGCATGTTCTCTTCTTATGTTGAATTGAAAAATGGCTCTGTGTCCATGGCTGATAGTAGTAAAAGACATGTGCTAGGTATAGGAACTGTATGTCTGAAATTTCAATCTGGTTTTTTGCTTAAACTGAAAAATGTGAGACATGTTCCTAAGCTTAGTAGCAATTTGATGTCTTGTGCTATCTTGGAGGATTCTGGGTATAAGGGTACTTGGGGTGATGGGGTTATGAATATTATGCATGATGGTTTAATTTCTTTCAAGGCTGTTAGAATGCACAATATGTATGTTGCATCTGCATTATCTGTTTCACATGTTAATTCTGTCCAGCATGACATGACTGATCTTTGGCATAGAAGATTAGGTCACATCAGTAGTAAGGGTCTAGGAATTTTGCATAAAAACAACTATCTGAGTGATGACATTGTTGTTGATATGCCTTTGTGTGATTCATGTGTTATGGGTAAACAGTCTAAAGTGAAATTCCCTAAATCCCCTTTCCCTAATACTTCTAAGTGCACATAAATCCTTGAATATGTCCATGCAGATGTTTGGTGTCCTGCACCTGTCTCCACACCTGGTGGAAACAGATATTTCTTGTCTGTTATTGATGATTTTTCAAGAAAAGTGCTTGTTTTCTTACTTGTGCAAAAGTCTGATGTTTTTGATAAGTTCAAATCTTGGAAAACCTTTATTGAAAATGAAATAAACAAGAAACTTAGAACCCTTAGAACTGATAATGACACTGAATTTTGCAATCATGAATTTGATTCTTTGTGTGCTGAATTTGGCATTAGAAGACATAGGACTGTTGCATATACCCCTCAACAGAATGACATAGCTGAAAAAATACTTTTTTGAATCTTCTACTACAATATGTGTGATTAGTGTTTAAGATTCAAAGTTACGGCAATGATGATCCAGTCCATTAAGTGTGTTCATAATAATCCTTTTATTGGTCTCCCGTGGAGAATTGTTAAGTATTGAGCCCAATAGAAATGATCTGTTGTGATCTGGGCCAATAGCTAAACTAATTCTAAGCCCAACTCGTGAAATCGGGCCCAATATCACATAAGTCCACTGATCCAGTCAACTTAAGATCTGAACCGTTTATTCTAGGGCTTCAATCTGAGCCCTCCATTTCCCCATTCCTCTTACCCCTCTCAACCCTAGCAACATTCTTCTGCTGCGCCGTTTCTCTCTCTTCCCTTGTCCCCTTCTCTCTCTACAGTGTTTCGTCACCCCTTGTCGTTTTCCGGCGACACCGTCGCAGGTCTGGCCGGACAATGGGTGTCCTTGCCGTCGCAGCTCATTTAATGCTGGAGACCGTTGAAACTCTGTGTATTTATACTGTGGT